TTCCAAATCTATCGCCTTGTCCATGTCATCCTCTTCACAAACGGCACTATCGTGTCCCTCCTGCCTGTTCCTGGCCTTGGAACACTTTTGTTTTACATTGAAACGCAGAGAATTTGACCAAAACACACAGGACAACAACAGACCACGTTTCATGCAAAGCTGTTCAGGTCAGGGGCCACATACATCGCCTAAAAGCGCCCCTCAGCGGTTTATTTACAAAGTGCACCTCTTAAGGTTGGTAAGTTTTTACTAATATGGGTTGGCATTTGGTTGGCCTCGCGTCTCTGTGTGTATGTTATCCACGCTTGAAAACACAGGAATACCTCATAATGATTACAATGATTGATATCAAAGAAGTGAAACTTTTTTATAAACCAAAGAAGAGTTCGACATACAATATAGAGCACCATTCAAGATCATTCAAGGGTTGTAGTGTCCGTATAAAAAAACAGAGGTTTTTATCCAGTATGATTTCATAAACCTGGACAAAAGTGTACTGCTATTTCAGAATCATTGATTTCAACCTCATTGAAAAGTAATATTGGCCCATGCTCAAAGAATTGGTGGCCCTCCTTTTACAATATTCACTCGACCACACAATTGCGCCCCCTGCGGTTGCTTAACTTAGTGCAGCGTTAACTCGTTGCCGGGGCAGCTGCCGCAACTTACTTTCAAAATTCTCACTTTTTGCTTCATTTAACTTAAAGGAGATTTCTGTGCAATAGTCCAGAACGTATCTACGACAATTCAAAGTACAACTTACCACCAAAACGGGCGTGGCGCGTCTTCCTGGGCGGAATTTTTACCCGCTTGTTATTTCATGGAAGCACACTCAACTCGCCATCTTGGAACGGCGTGTTCACGCACATGCTAGGTGCCACCTGTAAGTCATGAGACAAATTTGAATTCGATAATCAGGTTAGCATGAAATTAACAACAGGCCAATGGGCAATCATCACACATACATGCCTGAAAATACGATGATTTGATTATAGCTTTTATCTTATATACTAGTATTCGAAATTCTCAATTTTTCTATCCTCATCAAATAACTTTATAAATTTAGGAGGGAAACACACCTTTAAGTTAGTAATTTTCCAGAAAATGATCTTTGCTTGACTCTTTTATCTTTTAAATTGCGACAAGAACATCTTCTAGCTAGTAGGCGACAACTTACAAACATTGACGTTATAGTTATAGTTATTGCGATAAATGCCTCTGGGAACACATTCAGAACAACAATAAATACATTTCACGAAATATATGTTTATCATATTACCTCGATTTTCGATTAATCATTACTCTTAATCAACGATCTGTCTCAAATAACTTCATATATGAACTAGTTTTTTTTTCAATTATAACATTCAGGAATGATCTAAAAGAGCAATAGTGCATGTGCATCATTACTCTTTATCGACGATCTACAGCGTATACCAAATTACTTTATATAGTATATAACTATATATATATATATAGCTTTTTCGATTTTAACATCTAAAAGAGCAACAGTGCATGCTTTTTACGCGTGCTTGTCACGTGCTCGTCTAGTGTTCAGGGCATGTCCTTCAGAAGACAGTGTGAGGTTGTGCTAAACATTATATCTGCAGCGATAGATCTTGACACTTGTATACATAAAATAACTTTAGAACTTGTGCTTCGTGTTGATACACATGTACAGAAAGGTTGGGAATCGTTGTTTGTTTGTTTGTTTGTTTGTTTGTTTGTTTGTTTGTTTGTTTATTGGACGCCCCATGGGATCTAGAGAAATTCCCTATTGACGTCAAGACAAGATGAGCCTACCTGACTTGAGTCACGTCGTCAGCCGGTCTCCTTGGGGACTTCCGAATGACGTGTGTCCCCGTCATACCTTACACCTTACAGGCCCGGGGCGTGGCCGTCTCAGCTACACATGGCTGCGTTACGCGTCACCTGTAAAATATCTGTTCGAATTATCTCAAAATTTCAAGAGCATCGAATGCAGTATTTAAAAAAAAAATATCCTGGATGAGGAAAACAGTCTGATATCGACATTTACTGCCATTTCTTAGCACATTTCTTAGCATCAAAGTTTTATACTGGACGCGTTTAAAATAGCCCCAAAACATGTTACGTGAGGAATTCCTTTATTTTTGGGTAACCGTCCATAAATAGCTAGAACCATACCAGCTGATAATACAAAACAAGCAACAGTTTCCGTCAGCGACATCCCATTTTTGCCTCACAGATATCAGTGGTATGGAAAAGTTTTTATTAAACCCTTAAACGCGTAACTCTTTTCGAGAATTTACTTTTTTGGTTTATTTCATTCAGCTCTTTTGGGAATAATTTCATTATGTTGGCAAGAGACGGTATAAGAATGTTCTTTGATTCAACTTACTAGTAACGTGGTTGCCTTGAAGAATTCGACAGTCACTGAAACGTCGGATGTGAAAATCCACTGGTTGTTGAATAATTCAATAAAGAACATTCTTATACAGTCTCTTGCCAACATAATAAAATTATTCCCAAAAGAACTGAATGAAATGAACCAAAAAAAGTACATTCTCCAAAAGAATGAGACGTTTAAGATAGCACCTTTGTCTGAGAATATATAATTTTCAATAGTACTAGTTGGAAAAATTGACGAACCTAATTCTAATCTGTTATTTCTGTTCTTGATTCTTTATTGAATATTGGACTAGTTTTGACGACAAAACCTTAGCAAGGTCACTTAAAGGTTATTAAACCCTTAAAAAGCAGCAAACTCCTTGGAAGATACTTTATACCTAATAATTACTAAGGAGGCCTTTGTCTCATGTACGTGTAGACCTCATGTAAGACCTCAAATAGACCTTGTTTGTTTGCCCAGGTTGTACATTTTCCACTTATTGACTGTTGGACCAAACTTTAGCAAGGTCACTTAAAGGTTAACGAACCCATAAAAACAGCCAACTGCTTGGACCTTATCTTACACACGGTAATTACGTAATTACTTAGGACGTCTTGTGTCTGATGTGCGTGCGTGACCAAGGGCCAGAGTTGTCCTTGCATTTTGTCCGGTCAAAGACCTCAAATAGACTCTGTTTTTCTGTTCCTAAGTTGCACATTTTACATTTAAGTATAGTCTTGTACAAAAAAAAAGGTAAGAAAAAACTTCTATTATAAGATTAGCCTTTTGTATTCGTAACTGTGTGCGGTAGTCTTGTAGAGAAGTGATAATATCTTGGGGTATTGTCTCTGCCGTCAGCGCAAATTACATGTTAGCACGTATGCACAAAGGAAAACCGGTTGGGTCAGTGTGCTGTGTCACAGATAATTCATTCTGGAAAACGGCGTATCCTGTCAGAGACTGTTCTATGGTGGCTGTATGTGTGTGTTTCTATTCTGTGCCTTTTTAAACTAAGTTTTCATTGAGCAAGAACGTTTTCTATGAGCATTTTGATAGCCAGAGTGCCCTAGAGTTGGGTGAGTACAAGAATTGCGTTTTTACTCAACAGGTGGTTGTAGATTTAAGTATTATAGAAGGCTACAGGAAACCGTATGATAAGTAGATTTATACGAATCATATACGGACAACATCGTATCCATATGTGATATATACATGAAGTAAAGTAGAGGAGAGCGAAAATTTGGTATGCAATGGTATTTCGTATACATGTATATTGCGATTGAAATAAACTAACCATCTCACGTGTTTACGTTATCATTACACGTGTTTTCGGTATAAGAATGGCCCAAATTCTACTTAAAGATACGGAATGTACAAAACTCGCCAAATGTAAGAATCTCAATAATATATACAAATACAACACATTAAGCATTACAAGAAATTATTGAATCTCTATGAAATTCCAACTAGTTGAAATACTCTATATTAACAATATATGTGGTTTGTAACACAATCGTTGAGTATTTAAAAAAAGAATTCAAGGTCTAAAATCGACAATAACAGCAGTCGACTTTAGGTCTATGTAAACTACATTTCGTAGAGGATTCAATAAGAGTAAGATTTACCCTTCCCCAGCTGAATACTGAGAATCCGTAGCTAAACTATCCCATTTTTTACCGAAGGTCAAAACTTACTGAACGAGTTTGGACGCCATTTTGGTTCGCATTTTGAAGACATGCTCTTTTGTCAGCATAATTACTTCACAGAATGAAACTTCTGACCTGGAAAAAAATTCAGCCACAAATATAGGAGAACACATAGCGAATCAAACGTATACACATAATCCTATTTATAAATTGCTAGTTAAGTTTACAGAAAAAAAGAAAGATTGTCCTTAGTAAGCATTGTAACCTGGCCCAAGATAGACGTCATTATATTGATCTTATCTTTCGCCAAGGTCTTATTTGATTGTTATCTTTGTAGAAACGCTTTTGGCAACCTTGCTTGTATTCTGGGGTGGACAGTAGAGTCAGAACAAGCAATGTTTATATCAAGAAGTGAGTGAATTGTTGCTACTCTTACTCCCATACTCGACTGAACTTTCCGACACATATACGATAAACACAGTCCAGCGTTAGTGTTACTATGTAATTATGTTCTTGGTGCTGTTTATTTGTGTTTGTGGGTGTGGAAGGTTCGCAAAGGAGTACGTTCGGATAATTATCTATTCATGAGAAGCAAAAATTTATCGGCCTGCAGGTCGCTTTTCATAGAGGTGTGGGCGTGAGGGAAGAGGTACGGGTCAGACATTTAAGATACAGTTTATATTATTTAAACTCCTAATACACATAATTTACGTATATACATGGCAAAAATACACATATTATAGGACTGATATCTTCTTTGTATATGCCATGCTACATGGGACGTGTCCATTTGTTTTGGTTGTTTCTTATTTCTGTTTGATTTCATAGTTGATGGTCAAAGTAGTTTGAGGACATTGTACATTGATTCTTTTTAATATATGCATGTTCCTTCCATCATATCTTACTTAGTACTTAGTATTTGATATGTATTCTGAAACAGATACGAGCATGCTACGTACACTGATTGTATAGTTTCTTAAAACTATGTCTTTTCTTACAGATACAAATCATCCTATACAAGAACAAAGCTCGATTGTCAAAAAACTTCTTGATCAAGATTTAAAGAAAGAAGTCAGCAGACCAGAGACGTTCTTACCTTCTTCACTCTGAAAATCATTTTTATAGCGAGAAAAAAAGGAGCAGGCCATCAAAATGAATAGAAGATGTTTCAGTTTGAGGAAAACAGTGCTTTTAGTGTGTGTGGTTGGTTGTGCCACGTTCGCGTATCATCTAGCGGCGCTGCCGTACGAGGCACACAGAGCAGATGATTCTGTGAGACAGTTTGAATCGCACGACCGTGTTCGGAGGGACGGATCCGGACAACCACAGGCCACGCGGGCGTCTATATTCTCAATTGTGGCAGATTACTTCAAGCCTACACCAGAAAACTTCCAGGCCGCTATCGAGGAACCAAATGACGTCAAGACTACACCAAAAGGACCGGATAATGACGTCATGCCTCCACCAAACGAACAGGATGACGTCAAACCTCCACTAGAAGTACCGGATGACATCAAATCTCCACCAAAAGAACCGGATGACGTCAAACCTCCACTAAAAGAATCGGATTCTGTCAAACCTCCACCAAAAGAACCGGATTCCGTTAAACCTCCACCAAAAGCGCCGCTGACGGGAGGCAAGCGAACTGCAGTCATCATCATGACCAGGATGAGAAGCGGTTCAACATTTGTGGGAGAAATCTTCAACCAACACCCTGAAGCCTTCTACGTCTTTGAGCCCATCTGGGCTCTGGAACACCACAGGAATCACACCTACAACAGTCAACACTTCCAGTACGAATGGCTCCGCAGCTTGTCCGACTGTAGATTTCAGGGGGTACAAGACATTTTAAACTACTACCTTACTGCAAAAGGCCTGGGTGTAATGGCCACTTGTAACTCTATAAATGGGCTTTGCGCAAAGTACAGAAACTACACCTCCCAGTGGCCCGGCCGATGCCCCATCCCTGACGACAAAATGGCAACTGTTGTAGGCAACGCTTGTCTATCCAAGAAATTCACAGCTATCAAGACAATACGACTTGAAGACATAGCCCCTCTTCAGAAGATTGCTCAAGACGCTGGGATAGACTTAAAGGTGATCCAGTTAGTCAGAGACCCACGTGGCGTGATCGCATCTCGACTGTCATTGGTGCATAAGAATGTATCAGTGATGACGGCTCTGCATAGCAAAGTTGACGAGAAAGAAGTTCGGGAGCTTTGCAACTGGATGACAAGAAACAGACCAACAAACCAGGGTACTAACAGTTGGCTACAAAAACATTACGCACTATTACGATACGAAGATGCTGGAAGAAATCCGCTTGGAGTCATGAAAAAACTTTACAAACTAATCGACATACCCGCTCATGAAGATGTGACAAAATGGATTCATTCTCATACCAAAACATCTAAGAAAATCAAGGAGAGAAGAGATCCTTTCGGGACAAAGAAAGATCCTAATATAACTATGAATGAATGGCGAACAAAACTCAGCTTTGAGGACGTGAAAAAGATACAGTCTATTTGTAAGGAAGCCATAGATATGTTTGGTTACCAGAATGTAGAATCAATATCGGAGCTTAGAAATAGTACGAGGAATTTTCACGGACCAAATGTGTCCTTGTTGAATATTACATGATTCAATTTAAGGGCATCCAATGCAGTTTTAGGGCTTGGAAACCCGATTTTTCAAAGTCAATATTCTAGTCACTTATCTACATACGGAGTTAAAACCACACTATCCCAATTTATAGTAACCCTCTTGGAGCAAACTACCCAAAATTCTGACGGAAAATGGTTACTTGATTAGGGCCCTTGGCCGATTTTCAGGGTACCACTCAGAAAATAAAGGGCTCATCTTGGGGCTTGTTTCTGCAGTTTTAAATACCCAAAGTATGAAATACTGATTTAAATGTGCTAATGTGAAGCAGTATGTGTCAATATCTTAAAGATTGTCTCATTTAGAATATTTCCAGTTTCGCTTCTCTGAAATCGCATTGAATGCCTTTAATGTCGTGGCATACATTCTATATTTTTATTCAGAAAATCTGTTAAGAATAACCAGATACCTCAAAATATAAACAATAAGATAGGAGAAATTATAGAATAGCATTTTTAGTCTATGCAAATTGCTAGTATCCATTTTGTCACACAAAAAGTCATAAAATGCACTGTCCTACTTTTAGTAGTAACTTCTTTAATCTAAGCCAGAAATATTGGCCAAAGTAGATTGTGACTTAGCAGGGTATGTTCTTATAAAATTTTATGGTAGTCATTGTTTTGCTAGTAACTTTAGTATAATTTTACTATTTTTTAGTATATGTTGTTTTAACAAAACACTTAGGTTTTATCCATATTACTGTTATCTCTCAGGTACAATTTGTTTACAAGTGCCATTTTGTTTATTATTATTATCAGTTGTAATTTTTAGTTGTTGTATGATGAAAACATGAGAATGGTCCTTAATAAACATAATACTCAATGGAATACAGCCACGGTAGATTTATTGAATGTACAAGTTTAAAAAGTGTAAATGTTAGTGTGAAAGAAGTGTATTTCTGCGAGTATGTAACAATGCTCTATACAACTTAGTCAAAGGGAGCATAATAAAATTCAAATTCAAATCTTATTTTTAAGTATCTACTTGTAGGTATTGTTATAAAGTTTAACTCAAATCAATCTACATATTTCTACATTGTAGAAGACAGTTCAAAAATAACATAAAACGAAACATCTTCAGAAATTGATACCTGTGTCCAAATGTAAAAAAAAGAAAACTATATAACAAATGCAGATATACACACAAACATAATTATCATAAAAAAGAACCAACATATTATACATGGTAACATGTATGTATAAATACAACGTTTAAACTACAGATTTGCCAAAATAGCACCGAACCCCTATGTTCCCATGAATTATCTGAACAAAATATTTATAATACTAAGACACTTTATATGACAATGTCTGAACCCATGTCATCTAAAATATTTGCAATATATTATGATTGCTGTGGTAGCTTTATCTTTAACAAACGTAAGATAAAAACATTGATGACTTAATTCTTACACATGTTCGAGCTGTATACAGTAATTAATGTTTTCTATTTGTTTTGTATCAAGATGCAAAAATTCATAAAAAACACACACAATACATGTTCAGAATCTTATTGTCTGATGCCAAAAAAACACTTTTTTAGTTTGTGTTCTTAGACATATAGTTCTCAACAGTCTATTCATAAAAAACACACATACATGTGTAAAATTCCTAACAAAATATGTACATAATTATGTAAATCCTATTGTCTGATGCCAAAAAACTTTTTCTCTTTCTTATTTTGTGTTCTTAGACATAGTCCAAAACAGTCCGTTCGTAAAAAAAAATACAATCATGTAGAATGTGTCAAATCTTATTGTCTGATGCCCCAAAAAACTCTCTTTCTTATTTTGTGTTCTTAGACATAGTCTGTAACAGTCTGTCCATAAGAATAACACAAGTACATGATTGTGTAGAATTTCTCTTTCTTATTTTGTGTCCATAGGCTTAGTTCGCAACAGTCCGTTGATGTCATCTTCGAACGAGTACCCAAACATGTCGAAGTCAGGTTTGAACATGCTCCAGATCACTCGCATGTCATCTAGTGGGATCACTTTGTAGTCCTCAGCTAGGAACTTCCCGCCTCGGGTCTGTTTTTTCTGGGGAAGGAAACTGTCTTTTCCGGTGATGCCCACTTTTTGGAAGAACAGGGGGAAGTCTTCAGCCAGGGTGTCAGTGTGGGCAACGAAATCGAACTTAACCTAAGAAAAAGAAATACATTTAATATTGATGAAAATTCATCCATATTGCATACAATCATACATTTTACATATTACATACATACATACACCGCGCCGCTTTTGAAACTTCGAACACCGAATTCGAATGTTGGAATTGACTCCGTTACACTTTTTATTATTTAGATACACCAAATTTTGGCATTTTGCATTGAAATTTCTGTTTTCTTGGGTGGGTATGACATAAATAAAATACTACACAGTGTATTCTGCATCACCCTCGGTCCCAGCCCTCCCGCGGATCGGATCTCTCGAAATACACTGTGTAGTATTCTATATTTTCTTACATACACAGTAATGCATTTTACATGCATACATAAATACATGCATACAGTCATACATTTTACATGCATACATACATACATGCATACATACACGTACAAGTTTCAAGTTTATTTAGTAGTATTCTAAGTAAGTCAAGTTTAGTTTGTAGTATTCTATATTCACTAACATTCAAACATTTTACATACATACAGTAATGCAGTTTACAAGCATACATACATACATGCATAAAGTCATACATTTTATATGCATACATATAACATACATATATCTTTACATTGTATATTTACCTGACAAGGGCTGCACAGCTTGTATGCGGGTTCCCAGTGTGCATTGTGCCACTTCTTCTTGTCCATGGACACGGCCTTCAGGAAGGCTTTAAACGGGACGTCTCTGATGGCGTCATACTCATCAGTCTGTAACAGGAATAAATCGTCATTGAAGAATTAGTCGCCAGGGCTTGAAATTCATTTTTGGGACTAGGTGCACCCAACCTGAAAAAATAGGTGCACAAAAAAGTTTTTGGGTGCACCATATGAAACCTAATTACAGATCTTACTGCTCCTCTTCTGAATGTGAAATCGGAGCTAACTTCAAACTCTTGCAGACAAAATTTGCATGCACAGCTCCAAATTTGGGTGCACTAAGGTGCACGACAATGCACACAGTATTTCGAGCCCTGTAATCGCAGATGGTTATGAAAAATGGCAACTGAAGCTAATACACTTTTTTTATAGTTGACACTCAGTATACACGAAAAAGACATCATGATGTTTTGAAAGAAATTGGAACTTCAAGATATACTAGTAATGAATAGGATAACAGAACTGTCAAGTAATAGGGAAATGTTTGACCTTGTTTTCGATGGTGCTCCACATGTCCTGGAACTTCTCTGTCAGAAGGTCTCGTCCGTGCACAAACTTATCTCTCCAAGCAGACAGCAATCTACAAAAAAAAACAGATCAAATATTATATAAATCAATCTACCATGGATACACAAACATACAAATGTGTTCTGTTTTAAGGAAAGAATTGACACCGAAAAGCTACTTGGATATTTTTCGTGTCACACGCAATGTACTTTTTTTGTAAAGAAACATACCGGTAGAAAGAATGCATCAAAAGATGATAAATTTCTCAAAACAACCCTACATAAAACAACTGCAGCTTGGTCCATGCTCAAATTACAATTTGCCAAACATAGTTTTGGTCACACATTTAATTCTATAAGTTGACACAACTTATGAAAGATATCAAAGTATAAACGACAAGTTCAAAATAATTAATGATATACATGTATAATGTTGATACCTTTCCAGTGGGTCTCTCACGACAATGAACTTGTAGTAGTTCCTGAGTCGATGCTCGATCTCTTCACTCGAGTACTGGTCCAGGAAGGTGAAGTTGTACTTGTGGACCTCCACAGTGTTAAGTGTGTGGTTAGTCCCCATCTCCAGGTTGTAGAACACCAGTTTGGTGGTGGTGCAGCCGGTTTTGGGGACGAAACAGTACAGGATGTTGTACTTGTCATTAACGATCAGTTGACCGAGGGTGTGCTTCGATGGATATTCCTACATGGTGGGTAAAGAAGACTTCAAGTTAGTAAAAGGGGATAAGGAAAAAAAACATAGCCCAAACCACATTTTTCATCAAAGTTCTCCTAGAATACATTTTGAATTTCATTGTTTTTTTAATTAAAATTATAATAATCTTCTTTGCCATTTTTATATAATATTATATGTCATCTCAAACATCTACAATGACCACTGCAATCTTGTACCTGAGCTACTTTCTTGTCCCTTGCCCTCACCCTTATTTATCAAACATTCTTCTCATTTGTCCTAGCCTCTCTGGATAGGTTTTCATCAAGAGGTAGTGTAAATAGCCAATACAAAGTTCCATGATTTACACTTGAACTACAATGTAAAAACTAGAAATTTAAAGTAATATTTTCAAAGCAAATGCAGAATGTTTACCTTCTCATATGGTCTGCTCTGTTAATTCTTACTCAAACACATTCATATATGGCCTAAATCCCTCCTACTATAAAATTGCAACATGATGTAACCCAACACTAGTTACCATGGTGACAGACGCCACAGTCATTGACCTTTTTGGTTTGGAGAAGAAGAGGCAGTAGAAGAAACAGAGGAAAAACAATATGTTTTCCTTTGGTAAACATAAAAACATACATGTAGACAAGAGGAGTTATAACTTATATTATATATAACTAATATATAACTTATAAACTCACATTGCTTTTCTCTGGATATCTTTTGCAGTAGTCGTTCAACACCGACATCCTCTTGGCCTGTACATGCTCCACATCTTCATCCTCATCACTCTCCTCACTTTCAGCTAGTGGGGAACAACAACAACTTTGTCAGTCATAAGGTTCAAAACAATGGTTACAAACCAAGGTAACTGTCACACAAGCAACTGGATAGATTTTGACAACACTCAGTGACTTTCTCAGTGACGAAATATAGTAGCCTGGTTACCACACCTATTTTAGCTCCAGAGTACTAGTCTTTATCCACTCATTCAGGAGCTAAAATAACCAGGCTAGAAATGTAGTGGATGAAACCTAAAATGTCTAACCATTTTTAAAATCTACCCAGTTGCTTGAGTGACTGTTACCTAAGTAGTATAGTCTAGTAATACTATGTCATTCCTAACAGTTTAGAGTTTTATTCAGAAAATAAGCCTCACAGCATGTACATGAACAATAAGCTGAATTACACTAATTTGTACAATCATAATGTGGCATTACATACAAAAACAGAGAAAACATAAGCAAAGCTATACAAAATGCCTCACTATGGACAAGAATGCCCTTGAACAGTGTTATTGGATAGACTTGTTATGCATCCTCGGATGTCTAACCCTCATCATTGAATGTTTACCAACATTCATTAAATTTACACACTACTTAGCATCAGACAATGATGAAATGAAACCTTTAAACACTTGAACTACAACTTGCCATTGATAAAATGTCTACAAGTACTACCATACCTGGTGCAAGCTTGACAGGGGGATCTTCTTTTTGGTTGATATCTTTCTCACAGTTGGTTCCTATCCATCCTTCTTGACACTCACAGGTGTAGCTGTTCACACCGTCAAAACACTTGCCATGATGGCAGGGATTCGAGTTGCATTCGTTCAACTCTATTGAAGAAAAAAAAATAGTAAAAAACTAAAGTATTAGTAAACACAAATCACAATCAGAGAACTAACTTCAATAGAAACAGCTATAGAAACGTTAAATGGAGGTCCCATGTTTGGGGAGAGCCACACCCCACTCAAGATCCGACACCACACTTATTGAAAAAGAGTAGGGGACCTTCTCGGTGTGGGTCGTCATAGTCCAGTCTTACGCAGCTTGTACTTACATGTACAAAACTGGTGTGTTACACCTGAAGGCAGTTTACCAGTTATGCGAAACAAAACTTACCCCAAGAGCAGGTAGGTCCAGACCACCCTTCATCACATATACAGATGGGTCTGTCAAACCTCACGATACAGAATCCGTGGTCACAGCGATCATTGGCTGCACACAGATCTAAAAAAAAAAAACATGACTGTTGATAAGATATTTCAACACTAGAATATGTCAGATTTTTTTTTATGCTTTCAACAAAAAAAGATAGTATTATACATTTTTATACCTTGGTGTCTTTTTTCCTTTTAAATATAAAATCTAGCAAAAGTTCTTTGAACTATACTTTTCTATCGATAAAAGTTCCCACATGCCTAATAAAACAACACCTAAATTTTGCAAGAAACCTTTAAAAGTTAGATCTCTCAGATCAACTGAGCAATTTCTATCATCATGGTATACATGTAGGAGAATCGGCAAGCAATACTCAATGGCAATCATTTCAAATTTGTATGTTTCCTTTATCTTAGTATCAACATGTTACATGTTTGAATGTACACTTGGAAAAATGATGAGGCACCAAGACTAATTATTTCTATGAAACAGTAATAAGCACAGTCATAATAATATCCCAAGCATCAATATTTTCTTCAAATATTTTTTTTTCTTTTCATGAGAAGTTTTAGGATCATTATTGACTTCACCAGTCCTCAGAGTCTGGTCTTTTGTTATACCATTTTTACATTATAGTTATATACGCTTTTTATGATTTACAACAATTATGGCATTCTTTGATACATCGAAAAGTAATAAATAAATGAAAAGACTAATAAACATACCTCTTTTCTGTTCTGAATCACTTTGTTCAGAATTCCCTCTGGGATGATGCACATGTTCAGGTTCAAATCTCTTGTACAGATAGAGATAGCAAAAACCCATCGTAGCCACTACAGTTAGAAAGGCACCTGTTTTCCTCATCATTATTTGTGACTAGAGATCCAGAGGGATCAATAATATGTAGTGGTGGTGGTGTCTCCTTTTTTTGGTGACTCCTTGCCTAGAATAAGATTGACCAGAACACTCAAGGTTAGGAACTTAGCACTCACAAAGAGCATATTCATATTTCACATTTGAGAGGAAACTATTTAAGTTGCAGACAATTCTGAACTGAGAAGATCATATCTGAGAAGATAGCTTTAAACAAAGTCTAGAGCTAGAAGTTCAAGGGTTAGGTGTAACAAGTCGATCGGTGTGATATAGCCAGCTGCCGCCGCGCCGCGTGCCTGCAAAGCTGGTGTGTTACACCGAAAGGCAGTTATACCGGCTATACAGATACAAATACAATTCAAACTGTCTTAAAACCGGAACTATGGTCTGTTGTACATTGTGTTTTGGGATCATAATTTAATACAGACAACTCTTCATTGTGTGTACACATACATGCGATGCACATACAAATTAATAACCAGCAAACCTATTTTTCTGAGACAGAAGCAATGCCGAAGGTCATACGATTTAGAAACATGCTGCAAAATTGCAAAAAAAAGAGCATCTGATTCAATATACATGTAAAATACTGTTTCTCCAGTTTACAAAATTAATGTTAAATGACGTTTTTGGTAATTCAGAAGTGGATTGTATCTTTAACAATATGTCTATGATGGTTAGAAATCCAGGTAGGGTATTATAGATACAAATTAAATCAAATGGTCAACTGGATAAATTCTATAGCAGCTACATGTAAACAATCTTTTCTCAGTCACAGATAAAAGATATGCTCTCTGACATATTTGACTCTAGACATACAAAAGCAAAAGTTCCAAGTACTGTGCATCTAAGTGTAGTTTGTTGTGAAATCTAAAGGTAGGGCAAGACAAACCATCTTAGGACAAGGTTAACGCATGGTGTCAGCCATTTTGAATTCTATCAATATCAACATTTCAGCACAAAGTACCAAGTAGCTGCAAGTTGTACTCACCCAATTTTCCTCAGTCTTGCAAAAACAGGTCTCTTGTCCAAAATCTCTCAGTAACTCCTGCAAACTCTGTTCAAAAACGTGTGGAGAGTCTAAAAACAACAAGACTATCGCACATAGTGGCAGCTAGCTGTTTTTTTGTGTGATGTCAGAGAAGAAAAACTGGTTTATCGACTAGTCCTGACTACCTAGAATGGTAGTCTGGTGGTTCTGAATGGGTCCTGACATAATTATAGTCTGCACGGTAACGATGGGTCAAAGTTTGTCTTGTTACTCAGTTTTAGACAGACTACAAGACTTGTATAGAATACATAATGACTTGTCACCACCTCTGCATGGGGATAAATACATGTATTAAAGACAGTCACTGTATACTATAGATATTAGAAACTCCTCCAATGATTGTAGAAATTCATACATGTACCTATCCCATACTAGCAACCCACTCTTGTATTAGTTAGGTTAGCCTTTAAGTTATGAAAGTGTAGTTAATATGTACTTAGTAGATGCCATACATGTGTACGTTGCACCCTGTATAATTGTTATGCAATAAAGTTATTTTTTAGTATTTTTATTATTGTTATTATTGTATTCTAGGAGAAAACAGCCATGATAGCAAATGCCACAGTCCAGTTTAAAGTGAAGATTATGTAAAAAAAAGTTTCTCAATGCTTTGTCAAGTATTTAGGATCAATAAGTATCAAAGTATTTGTTTATTTTTGTTTAAAAAATTTAATACTTTATGCTACGTAAGTCAGTTAAATATGTATGACATATAAAAATGATCATACGTTGAAAAAAGTGTCTTAATCTGCATATCAAAAAGCAGTGCGTACTGTAACAGCTTACATGTGCGCTACACTTTTTAACTGAAATGAAATACATGTAAAGTTAAACATAATGGATAGTTTCACAAGTAACACTATAGAGTCAATGAAAAATATCACATTGTGACATTTCAAATACTGTTTTTTAATGTCTCTCATTTGTGGCAAGGCTATGCAAAGGTGTGTTACATGACTGTAAGTTACATTTCTAATGCATGTTTTTCTAGTTTACACTAGAAATTTGGAAAAATGTAAATACAATACCTGGAAAAAGGTATCTATATGAGTATTACGAGACCACTTGTTTCAATGTAAATCAACACAAAAGTCATATACATTTTGTAAATACTGTATGTGTGAATCAAGTTTCAGCATCACTGAAGACAGTGAAAAATGACCAGTAAATAATGTATTATTTTAGCTGTAACGTTTACTATCACAAGACAGCGGAATTTTGCAGGACACATTCACAACAATTTGCTGTGTCACAAAAAAAAGTATCTGGACCCTAGACAACATTTGCATGCTATATACTTTAGTCACTCTTTACATATGTGTCCTTTTTCAATGTTTCCCATATATTCTTGTCATTGAAAATGGACGTGTAAGAAAGTTATTCTACATTCTGAATACACCAAACTGTGTTTTCTCTATGGGAGCGTTCAGAGCTGCACTCAGACTCAGACCTAGGACAGTCCTGGTGTCAGCTGGGTCTATAACTCCATCATCCCAGAGTCTGAAAAACACAAACAAATGCATAATGTTTACCTTCATGCACATATGGTCTACTCAAACACATTCATATATACATGTATGGTGACAGGAGTCTAAATCTCTCCTGCTATAAAATTGAAACATGATGTAACCCAACACTAGTTACCATGGTGACAGACGTGTGGTTCAGGTCATTGACCTTATTGGTTTGGAGAAGAGGAGGAAGAAGAAACAGAGCAAAAAAAATATGTTTTCCTTCGGTAAACATAAAAATTACGGCATAATCGTTTGAGATTGCACAGCTTACAAACTGTACCACCGTAGAACACATTGGCAGAACGTAGGGCTGCTTTGCAAAACCCGTAAGATTATTTTGTTGATTCTTGGATTTTTTTCAGAAAAAATATGAAATGACAGGGCAAAAATAAATAAAAACATACCTGGCACTGGAGAAGTATGGATGACCTTCAATCTCAAACCTCTTGATGATTGGGTCCATCAAGGCTTTCTCTTCTTCAGCTGTGAACTGTAGAAAAAGACAAAATAAATCACTCGCTTAAAGTACCTTACCTCTTCCCTCATAACTTTCAGCTTTCATAAATAAAGAATGGTTCAAATAAACAAACAAACCTGGCTTTCCACAACAAGGATACATCTACCATTTTTTAATTACGAGCAATTAACTACAGAAAATGTCTTCTAACTTTGTAAGTTAAAACTGTTGTCATGTTGCAGTGTTGTGAACATTGTATTCGAGTTCACACACCTCTTTCCCCTCCCGTCTTCTCTGTTCTTTACTGATGGTGGCCAGGACGTTAGCAGCCTGCTCTCCTCCCATCACTGAGATACGGGAGTTGGGCCACATGTACAGGAACCTGGGACTGAGAACATAAAGGTCAGAGGTCAAGGATTGGTCTCAACAGAGCCACAAAAAGGTCAGAGGTCAGGGATTGGTCACATGTACAGAAACCTGGGACTAAGAAAAGAGCCATACAAAGGTCAGAGGTCAAAGTTGGGCCACATGTACAGGAACCTGGGACTGAGAACACAACCACACAAAGGTCAGAGGTCAGGGATAGGACACATGTACAGGAACCTGCGACTGAGAACACAACCACACAAAGGTTACAGGTCAGGGATTGGTCTCAACCACAAAAAGGTCAGAGGTCAGAGTTGGGTCACGTGCAGGAACCTGGGACTGAGAATAGAGCCACACATGGTCACAGGTCAGAGATGAGTGGGTCATTATTCCTCCAGTAGGCCAGAAAATTTGGTGAGTTATAATTTTCTGTGATGGACCAGAAATTGTCTCTCTCAAAAACCCCAAAAACAAAAAAAAACTGTTCTAGTTTAAGGGTAGATTAACAGTTTTGTGATCAAATTTACCCATAAGCCCTGCCACACATCCCATAGTTCCCTGCTCCGTACGACCCTCCGATGATGACAGTGAGTTTGGGGACCTTGGCGCAGGACACGGCGGTCACCATCTTAGCTCCGTCTTTTGCTATCCCACCAGCCTCCGCATCCTTACCCACCATGAAACCTGCAAGACAACACAGCATACAAACTCAATGACGAGTTGAACAATAAAGTTCTTTTCTTTCTTTAAACTTGAAACTTTTGGCGCAATACAAAAAGTTCTCTCACCTACAGCTTTTGACCAGTCACTCTGGTCTTCCTCAGTAAACAGACCCAGTAAGGCTTGTCACTTTTATTCACAACTATTTTTTACGTTAGCCGACGTTTTGACTGACTGGTTCCTTGTGCACTGTTACAGTAACAATGCAGTTGTTGGTTATGCTTGGGACTGCATTGTTAGTAATATTACAGTAACACCTAGCTCCAGTGCACAGTAAAAAAAGTCATATTCGCCCTGATGAAGATGACAGACGGTCATCAAAACATTGGCTCATCTATTCAATCCTTCAATCATTTTTAAGTGGCCTTTTTTAAAACTCACCCTACACCATACATGTAACTGACAACTGTCTTAAATCTTTATGCGTCTTCTTGGTTTTTTTAATAATAAAATGTCATTGGTTTAGGAGAACTGTAAAAGAGAAACCAACCTGTGATGTTCTGAAGGAAGATCAGTGGAATGCCTCTTTTACAGCACAGTTCAATAAAGTGTGTTCCCTGCAAGAAGAGAGACCTTTCTGTTATAAAGTTTATAATACAAATAATATACATACATGTAAATATAAATAGTATAATCATACATTTATGATATTCAAGATTTTGGATACATCGATCACACCACTGTGCACTAACTATGCATTGGAGGAGATGAAAAGAACTAAAAACTGAAGTTATGAAATAAAGACTGAGCTTTAACTTCCAACACTAAATACAGAATTGGGACTTACCCCAAATTTTCGGTTGACTCTATCAACCTTGTTCACGGAATGGACCCGTCTACTCTTGGAACGTGACACGTGATCGTAGTAGCGGGTCATACGTGCCAGAAGTTAAAGTTCAGTCTTTATTTCATAATGATTTGTACCAACACAGATGAACTTTCATGCTAAAAACATAAGTGTTTATGAGTGTTTTAAAAGATTACTTGATATACATACCTTAAGTGCTGACTCTGAGAATAGGACACCATTATTACCAATAATTCCCACAGGGTATCCATACAGTCTGGCAAAACCTGTATACAAACAATGTCAAAACTTCAACTGAGATAATCCACTTAAAAAGTAAGTGCAATGTATTCAAAATTCTGCATGACTAAATTTTTTTCAGCTAGAATACAGAATACTGTATCTAATTTCTTTATTTCTTTAAGTAGATCTATATCTTGCCACCCTTGTTATTATTGAAAAACCTCACCTGTTACTAACGTGTCTCCATACATGGCCTTGAACTCATCAAACTTACTGCCATCCACTATTCTCGCAATCACCTGTAGCAGGTAAAACATATGGCAAGCTCTTCAGAGGTATTACATGTACATAATATCAAACTGATATCTACTTTTAACATTAACAATAATGTTATTCTTTTCTAAAAAGGTTATTTTCCTCCAACAACGCAATAATCCGTCGCTTAGGAATTCATTCTTTCGGAAGACCTACCATTTATTATACTTTTAGGTTTCTTCCTGTATTATTTGTATGTCTGTATAGTTTTTGTATTATTTTAATGATGTATTGTACATGTGTTATATGGGTTTTTACCTGAAATAAAGAATGAATAAATGCTATAAGTTACATGTATCAAGACTAACACTAAACTATTTCATATACAACATGTAGGTGGTTTACATGACAATATCAAAAATGGTTAGAATATGTCCTGGAGTCTGTTATTATTGGTGAGATGCTTGGATGCTTATAGAAAGTTAAAAGTAAAACTAAATTTACCATTTAAGATACTGATTCTGAAGATATCACAACTGTGGACTGCATAATATTATTATATAATAACTAATAATATTAGACAAGACTCACTTGTCTGACATCGAATGTTTTCTTGAGGTTGGCTCCCACAATTCCATACAGTTCATCAGCTGCGTACAGAGGCTCTTCTGGTTCTGTAATTGTCACCTAGAGAAGCATAAAGAAAATTCAGAAAAGAATAAACTGGTTCTGGAAAATTAAGCCAGGAAATGTAAAAAAAACAACAGTATATCGACTAGGTGGAAAAAATTTTTCCTATACTCAATATACATTATTATATACAAGCGACTCGACAATTATTCTTTTCCCCTAAATAACTAGGTACTTACACTCGGAGACTTGGTGTAGTTGAGATTACCCACAATCCTCCTGGCTATGTGCAAAGCATGCTGGTCATCCAGGGCGTAGTGATCTGTTACTCCAGATTTGCTGCAAAGGAAAAAAAAGAGTCCACATGTCGGAAAAATGAAACCACAATTTTGACTTATCTTCCAAAACAATCTAACCAAACTCCAAGATCATGCATGTACAATGTATATAAACATACCATACTGTAATAGTGTAATTGTAAAGTTCCAACCCATATACTTCTAGTGGTCTGACTATACTACAAATGAATATCTTAGAAAAGTTTCAAAAATTTACCTGCAATGTAGGTCTGCTCCACCAAGCTCCTCAGCTGACACTACTTCTCCTGTGGCTGCTTGGACCTAAGGAGGGTTGGAGAAATAAAATGATTAGAATTCCTCTTTCCATGTAAAATCTTTCATTATGAGATGACTTCTTTAAAGTAGTGTCTAGAGTAAGAACACCACAGAAGGATGGACTGATGGACAGTTGGACGGTTGGATGGATGGATGGATGGATGGATGGATGGATGGATGGATGGATGGATGGATGGATGGATGGATGGATGGATGGATGGATGGATGGATGGATGGATGGATGGATGGATGGATGGATGGATGGATGGATGGATGGATGGATGGATGGATGGATGGATGGATGGATGGATGGATGGATGGATGGATGGACGGACGAATGGACGGACGGACGGATGGACGAATGAACAGACAAATGAATGAACAAAGAAACAAATGAACGAATATCTTAAGACTGTTACCAGAGGAGGTCCTCCGAGGAAGATGGTTCCCTGTCTCCTGACGATGACACTCTCGTCTGCCATGGCTGGTACATACGCACCTCCTGCTGTACACGAACCCAGAACTACAGCAATCTGGGAGGGGAGGGGATCAGTAAAACAATCAGGAAAGTTTCAGTATACTGTAGATCATACATGTATTTCCAGTAGCAAAAGTTTGTGGTCTGACAAAAATGGACATGTTTGCAGAATTATATGTTCATGGTGGCAGATACAGAAGAAAGAAAGCTGGCATATCATTTGCTTTCAGTAATGATAAATTTGCACTTCACACTGCTTTCCTCATGCTACTTACAATGTAGGTGTAAAATGGGCCCCTGACTTCAGTTGGGAAGGTAAAAGGCAGTGGAAGGTGAGGAATGGGCTCCACCTTCCAACACTGTGCACAATTTAATGGTTTAACAACCCGTACCAATTGCCCCTATGGCCTGAAAAAGGCTATTGGACTACCTTTACCATCATTTCCTTAACAAATCATTATCACACTGCAGATCATTTTACCTGAGGAATCCCGTTGGAGGACATGTTTGCCTGGTTGTAGAAGATCCGCCCAAAATGGTCCCTGTCTGGGAACACGTCTGCCTGACGGGGCAAGTTGGCACCGCCTGAGTCAACTGGAAATTAATAACATTATCATTAATATATTTGGAATTTTTAAAAAGCATTTTGACTTCATTCCTCATAGTTGTTGTTTCTTTATCTTTTTGAAATTACAGATAGAAATGGCCAGATAAAGTTAAGTAAGTAAAATTTACTTCAGGTAATCAAAATGAATGCTGTGATTGGTTAAGCCAGGTCAGGTGACCAAGATGGCAGCTTCCACAGATAGTTTTGTTTTACTCGCCATTTATGGAAGCGGCCATCTTGGTCCCTTGGTGATCAGTAGATAAAAACTAACCTAGGTAAATACAGGGCAGCCTGTTGAGTTGAGCAATCTCCTGGGCTCTGAGATGTTTCTTGACAGTGATTGGATAATAAGATCCTCCCTTCACAGTGGCATCATTGGCAACAACCATACACTCAACCCTGTACAAAACACATACATGTTAGGTTCACCAACAATCACAAGCAATGAGATAAATACCCTTTACAATTCTTTTTTTTTACATTTACTGAATGCTTGTGAACTTTGACTTTTCCAGTGCAGGACAGAAAAAAAATTAGGCTTCCATCACATACGAACCATGGTAAGTTTTTGTCCAATATTATAATACATAGGATTTGTGCATGGGTTATTTGTGTAACTTACCCTGACACCCTTCCAATACCAGTAATGATCCCCCCGGCTGGCACCTCCTCCTCTCCATACAGTTTATATGCAGCTAACTGGGACAGCTCCAGGAACGGAGATCTGGTAATGATAGAAAACTTTATTGTTTTTTCTTTTAAAAAGATAATAAAAGCAGTTGCACTTTATTAGTCTTGAAGTTTTGTTCTTTCATAGTTGTTACCACACATTGTACCCTGTATGGTTTTCAAGCAATAAACGTTATTTATTCTTTCATTCATGTATGGGAAAATGTTATTTGCTTTAGAACTCCATCTATATTAGGTGGTAGTGCAATCGAGCTTCCAACTGCATATGTTTTTAGCTCACTACAATCTCTGACAAAATATCACATTTTGTTCCAACTACAAAGCATGCCCTTTTTTTTTTACATTCACAATATATTTGTGACTTTAAATGATGGGACAGAAAAATGTTTCAGAGTACCCTGGGTCCAAGAGTGAGTTGATTCTTTCCCTGGGAAGGAGTTTTCCCCGTGAGGTGTGGCGTTGGATGGCCTTCTCCCCGCCGCCCTGTGTGATGTTCCCTACCAACTGTCTCAGGTCTGTCACCAGGCTCTGCATCTTATCATAATTATCCTGAAATGTGATGGCATAATAGATATCATATGGGTAATAGGGAGGTTCACAATTCACATTCTCTGTGTGATCCATTGTGGTTTCATTGGAATGTGTGAAGTAACAACATCTAGCATTCAGCTCAGAACCAAGAGGTCCTGGGTTCGAATCCTGCTATGTCACCAACCTTGCCCTTGGGAAAGGCACTTTACACGACTTTCGCAAAGGTACGAAAGTAACGGGTTCCTTACTGGGCGCCCAGTACGGAAACCGTGGAGAAAATAGCGTCGATACTCGGCGCCCAGTTCTGAAGAAAGCTCTAAACTGGAATTCCAGTTCGGAACGGCGTTATTCCAGTACTGAAGCTTCGTCAGAACTGGAAGTTCAGAACTGAATCTTGTTTCGGAACTCGTTTTCCAGACCTGAACGCCCGTCGGTACTCGGACCCCAGTACTGTGTTGCGTCCCGGCTACAGGAAGGCTGGTTCAAAGGTCATTCAGTACTGGTTACCCAGTTCGGAGATCATTCAGTACTTGAAAGCCGAGTGTCGATGTACCTAAGTAACGGGTTCCGTACTGGATTGACCAGTAAAAAGTGACTCTACAGTACTGGAAGCCGAGTTTTCAAATTATTTCTGAACTGGGCTTCCTGTTCTCACGTTCTAATTGTACTGGGATGTTCCAGTACTGAATACGATATGTCTCAATACAGTAGTAGAAGTAGCCTTGCTGACATCACCGACGTATAAACTAGTATTGGTCTATAATACTAGATACTTGAATAAAAACTGACTCAATTTTTGAGATATTGTATTTATTTGTGGTCGAGATTTTGTGATTATGATATACCCCTTTTGTGATTCTTTTTTATCCGTGCGCTTTTTTAACAATCCAGTAGTATTGGTCTATAATACTATAAACTAGAATAAAAACTGACTCAATTTTTGAGATACATGTATTGCATTTTAATTTAATATGGGGGCCCGCAAGCCCTTTTCCGTAGAGCGTAATCATTTGGTAATCGGCCGTTTTAATTCTACGTAGAGCGTAGACGGACTCAACGTAGAGCGTAATTGGCGCATTTAGCGTAGAGCGTAATGCGTTGTAGCTATGAAAAGGGCCGGGGTTTCGTTGAGGTCGCTTGCGTTGTCAGTTCTGAGCTGAGCTGAGGATCTCACGCTGAAACTCGGAAGGAACGTTCAGTTCTCGGTTTCCAGAACTGATTCAGAGTTTTCCAGTTCTGAAGTCGCCTCAGATCTGGACGCCCAGTTCTGACAGAACTTCCGAACTGGAAGTTCAGTTCGGAAGGCACCTTCAGTACTGAACACCGAGTACTGAGGGAGGAACCCGTTACTTATGTACTTTTGCTCATACGACTTTCCTCACTTCACTCAGGTGAAAAGAAGTATGCCAGAATGATCATACCATGATCATGGGAATTAAAAGGAAAAGTCCTTGGGAAAAGTTAGTCTAAGACTAGACTAGCGTTGATGAACAAAGAACTTCATACCAAGGAGGTCCATACTAAGTAACTAACCGTATATTCACAACCACTTATAAAAATCAATAAATTAAGAGCGTTACAGTTACTTCAAAGATTTTAAAAGGCCTTAAATGTTGTTAACTCTAGTAAACGAGACTTAGAGCAGTTGGGGGAGGGGGGCAAATCTCTAAGACTTTCCATCCACAAAACTGACCTGGTATTCCGCTGAGTTAGTGTCGGGTTTTGAGCCTATAACCGGCAGTGAAGCGGTCTGGAACATTCTCCATCTTGTCCTTGTCATGTCCTTCACCAGCCGACTGCCGAAACTCCTGCAGACGTTCATGTTGGAGGCTCTACGAGGACAAAAATTTCCGAAAATTTGGTAACCCACCAAAATTTTATCACACGTCCGCCATATGCATGACCTGGGTATGACCTCTCTATTGACATGCAGATTTTGGCGGGAAAATGATTAAATTTGTGTGCTATATTTGCGTAAAATGAATATTGTAATGTTTATAAACGTTTATTGAGGTCATCTTATACTAATTTTTAAAAAACATACATTTTTTAGTATGCACGTGATTGGCCACACCACTGCCACACCTCCTTTGAAATACTCCATTGTGTTACTAGGGGTGAATGTATACTTTATATATTTCTTTTTGCCTAATAAAATTATTATCCATCCTTAAAACTATAATTAAACTTTAAAAAAATGTATATATCTTCTCAGAGAAACCTAACGAATTTTGTGGCGTTGTTTGTACTCAACATTTATTAATTTTACTGAAAAGTGTTCCCCACTTCAAATGAACTTGTCTAGTTAATGACCTTTCACCCACGTGGCCCGTGGCCCTTACTGAGTCCGCCACATTTTAGGAAAGACAGACTTGTCCATGGAAAACGCCGCTAACGCTGCCAAGAAAGCCAAACTTGTCACCATGTCGTTCGTTCCCGTGCCGGAGAAGAGCCACTTCCCCATACAGAACCTCCCGTATGGCGTGTTCTCCACCAAGGGCAATGTAAGTCATTTCAAAAAGCTAGAGAACACTTTCACTTATGGGAGAGAGAGAGACAGAGACAGAGTCGAGAGAGAGAGAGAGAGAGAGAGAGACAGACAGACAGACAGACAGACAGACAGAGAGAGAGATAGAGAGACACAGGCTAGGGAGAGACAGAGAGAGAGAGACAGTCTAGTAGTAACTCCACTTTGTGTATAATTTTAAGAGTGATTTTTTGGCGTATCTGTCTGTATCTCTCTCTTTGTCTCTGTCTTTCTCTCTGTCTTTCTCTCTGTCTTTCTCTTTCTCTCTCTTTCTCTCTCTTTCTCGCTCTTTCTCTCTCTTTCTCGCTCTGTCCTTGCTCTGTCTCTCTCTGTGTGCGTGCATGCGTTTGTGTGAGTGTGTGTGTGTGTGTGTGTGTGTGTGTGTGCAAATTCTGTCACAGTGTATTTCTGGGCTTCTCAATATAATGCATGCATAAAGCATTGCCATCCATCCTCAGTGCAGTTCTTTGGGACCAAAGTGTGGGTAGTAAAAAGTCTGCCATCTCTGATTGTCATGTGTCCCGTTGTGTTTCTAGCCTCGGCACAGGGTTGGAGTAGCCATCGGTGAGCAGATTCTGGACCTGAGTGCCGTGAAGGACCTGTTTACTGGGCCTGCACTGAGTGGTAAACAACATGTGTTTGAAGAGGTGAGTGTATCATTATTATAAATGAGTAAGTTAAAGCACTCACCATCAACTGAGGTCATGGTGCTTTTTCTATATTTGTTAAGCCGCCCTTCAATGTAACACCAGTTTTTATTGCAGACGTGGTGACAGAGCTCTCCTTATATTACACTGAACAACTTAGCTGTCACTCCAAACTTTTGCATACCTAACTGAAAGCAACTTGTTTAAAGCTCTCTAGTCATGATGCCGCTATTGTACCTTTACTTGGTGGCCATGAGTTCCACTACGATAGTTCTAGCCTGGTGACCACTACTTTAGCTGCTGAGTCTCTTTCCTTCTCTCTGGATTTTTGGAGAAGACAAAAGAGACTCAGCAACTAAGATACTATTACTGTAGATAGGTTTGGTCACCAGGCTTTTTGTGAAGAGACTTGGCAGCTAAAATACCAGTAGATTTGGTAGCCATTAAAAGCTACAAGAGTTCTAGGAAAGTTTTCAAGTTGCTAATATAGCAATGCAGCTTTGCTACATGTTTTTGATTATCTGTCTATATTCCAGCCCACCTTGAATGCCTTAATGTCCCTTGGGTCAGCTGCCTGGAAGGAAGCTCGCTCCACTCTGCAGAAACTTCTGTCAGAAGATGAACCAACTCTCAGGGACAACGCTGATCTTAGGGCAAGGTATGCATGGCTAGAAGATAGTATATTCTTTTGTTGTAATGTGGGCAGATGAGACCAGATGACAGTAAGTTTACCTATTAGAACATATCTACATGTGTAGTTACATGTAAATATGACATGATTTTTCTGTTGATCAGTTACAGTTTTACATTTATATTCTGTTTTCTTTGCATAATGATTTGTATTGTTTTTTCTTTTTTCTTCTCCTCCAGGGCATTGGTCCCACAGGCTGATGCCACAATGCACCTTCCTGCTACCATTGGTAAGTACCATCCACAACTCATCTGCATATTTGGGACCTATTTTACATATAAGTGACATCTCAGTGACATACTAGTATACATTAATGTATCTAAAATGGGGTTTGTGCACATCACAAGCAAGAAAGGAAGATGTACGTGTATATTGACTCTTGTTTATGTTTACCTGTTTTTGTTTACTCAGGTGACTACACAGATTTCTACTCTTCCCGTCAGCATGCCACTAATGTCGGCACCATGTTCAGAGGACCTGACAACGCTCTGATGCCAAACTGGTAAGTTAAAAATACTGCAATATTCTACTTTCAATTGTCGTCATCATGATAACAATAAAATTCTGCAGGTATGCAGAAAAAAGTATTTCAAACCCTGCTATGGTATTTCAACTGTAAATGATGATTATGACTGTGTTGTTTGTAGGCTCCACTTGCCAGTAGGCTACCATGGCCGTGCCTCTTCAGTAGTGGTGTCTGGTACTCCAGTCAGGAGGCCGTGTGGGCAGATGAGACCAGACGACAGTAAGTTTACATTTACGTTTAGAATAAAAGCATATCTAGTTAGTTCAATGTGACAGTCAAGTAGTATTAGATACTGAGAAGCATGAATTCCAAATGATATGTCGTGGAAATGCACAAATAATGTAAATTCTATTCCTTCTTTCAAGAGATGGCAAGTTATGTGATTTCAAAGAGCTTATATGGGAAAGTACTGCATGTTATGATTATAACCATGTTCATGTGTTTATTACAGGCAAGCCACCTGTCTTTGGGCCATGCAAACTTCTGGACATTGAGTTGGAGATGGTATGTTTTGAAGTACTTATATCCCATTATTTGAACCATATTTTGTAGCAACAGTGAGTGTTTTATATCAAAATGTACCGTTAGTCACAGAAAGTCATGGACTAAAATTGTGTAATCTTACTGCATGATATAACAATTATGGAATGTACTGTTCAGAAAGTTGATATTATTTTTGGAAAGAAATTAATAGAGTTCATCTTATGTTTGTACTTGATTTTGACAGGCATTCTTCGTGGGCCCACCCAACGAGCTAGGACAGCCCATCCCAGTGTCCAAGGCTCAGGACCACATCTTTGGCATGGTAGTCATGAACGACTGGAGTGGTGGGTATAAAATCCCTGTCTGTTCATTATAGTAAATAGTCTACCATCAATGGGGTACATTTAGAGTAACTAGCTTTTGTATAGCATAAATCTAATAAAGTCATTGGAATGAAATGGCAGCACAGCAGCTTTCGACTGTCACTAAAAGTCTGAAAACTGTGAGATTTTACAATCACAAACAATAATAATGGTTTTTATTGGCCAAACAGTACCCGTGCAGTCGCAGCCTTTAACGTCTGAATTGATGCAGGGTATCACATAATAATCAATACAGATCACAACGAACAAGTAATATACATGATAACACACATATTTGCTCCACAATTTTTTTTTGTGGAACTGTCGCAAGGGTCTGTGCGGCTGCCATTTGGCGCCACAAGGTGACCAAAAATACCGTAATGGTATAGAGGGAAGAGCATTAGCAAATACAGTAGGTAGCAAATTTACATGTACCTCATGTTGTGCTACACCCACTATCAAACATAGTATTACATATCACAACATTAAATGTAGCAAGATAAAAATATTTAGAAGAGCTTGAATAATATTGTGGTGTGAGATCCCTTTTTTTTTCCATTCCGTAGCCAGAGACATCCAGAAGTGGGAGTATGTTCCACTGGGACCATTTCTGGGGAAATCTTTCTCCACCACCATCTCACCCTGGGTGGTCACCATGGACGCACTCATGCCGTTTGTCACCGACAACGCTAATCAGGTCCGAGACATGTATACATGTAACTTCTCTATCTTACATTCTATAGCAGTTTGCATATACATGTGTACATGTATACAGGGCTCAAAATACTTTTTCTGCATACCTGCACTGGTGCAGTTTACATTGAAAATTACCTTGTCCAGCCAGACAAATTTTACCTGCACCACTCAGATTTTGAAGTACATGTAGTGTGGATCATACTAAAAATTGTTTAGAAACCATTGCCATTGTATCTTTTATACTTCAAAGGTCATTGTTTCATGAATTTACAATCACAATAATTTAGCTACGATTGGAATGGAAGTCACATATCATGCATTCCAATGATGTATGATACATTGAAATTGATATAAACAACTTTTTGTGCCAAGTTTAACATCTGTGTCCACAATATCACCAGGGTCCATAATATCGCCACCTTGAGAAACAGTGTGCTTAAAGATATTTTTACTGCAACATACTTTTGGTACACACTCCTTCACACATCAAATGTACATACCTAGGGTATGTTGCAGTAAAAATATCTTTAAGCGCACTATTTCTCAAGGTGGCGATATTATGGACCCTGGTGATATTTTAGACACAGATGTTATATTGTACATTAGAATTGTACAGTATGACTTGAGTTATGATTTTGATTTTCCTAGGAGAACCCCCCAATCCTTCCATACCTCCAACATGATGACAAGTACAACTTTGACATCAAGCTGTCTGCTGCTGTCAGGGCAGAGGGCATGGCGGAACCTGCAGTTATATGTAACTCAAACTTCAAGGTGAAATTCAGCACAAACTTCTGTATGACACCAAATCAGCTGTATGTAACATAAACTTCAATGTGATACCAAGCCAACAGTTGAATGTAATTCAAACTTCCATATGAGAGCAAACTATCACTAAGTATCAGTTCCATGTGTGAAATCAAACTAGCAGTTAGAACTTAGATGTAACTCAAACTTCACTGTGAGACCAAACAAGATAGTGTACAAGCGCGACCCCTAGCTTCAAAAACTTGTATTACATCTAGTTACAGAATAATGGTCAAAATTTATGTGTCTAAGACAACTGCTCAGGGGACCGAGGAAAAGTGGTCTTCTTCTAATAGACAAGTGGTATTATTATACAAAGTGGATGTCACCAAGACAAGAAAGAGAACAAGGAAACCGCAAGAAAAATTGGGGATCCACCACACACTTGAAAATGATGCAGTTGTCATAGGCAGAAATTGGTGGTCCTATATGTAATGCCAGAGAAAAAATCGTGACAGAGAAAAAGTGGTGTCATTATGGCTAGATGGCCGGCTTATTATAGGGATAATTACTTGGGCAAGATTGACTGTATGTTAAACTTTGTTGTTCCTGTACAGCACATGTACTGGACCATGAAACAGCAGCTGGCTCACCACACTGTGAACGGCTGCAGCATGAGGCCCGGAGACCTGCTGGCCTCAGGAACCATCAGCGGGGAGGTACAGTATCATCATCATGGTTCTACTAGCCTCAGTTTTCTATGAACAAAATCTTACTAGTTTTTATTAGTAGTTCAGCACTAATATTAACAGCCAAAAGTGTTACCTTTCCTGCTTCAGTTCACACATGATCTTTAAAAAAGATCAGTAAAGTTTTAAGTCTTGTCATGTGTAAATGGATTCTGTGAATTCTTTTCCAGACTGAGGACTCTTTTGGCTCTATGTTGGAACTCTGCTGGAAGGGAACCAAGAATATAGACATCGGTGGGGGACAGACTCGCAAGTTCCTGAAGGACGGAGACGAAGTCATTTTGTCTGGTGAGAGAATCACATCTGATCACTAACATACACATTTATGAATTGTGTTTCTGACAGTGGCAAAATTGATTTTAACATTTGGTGAACTGTGCCATTTCCAATTACTTTCTTTTAATTTTTGTCGATTGAAAATGAAAACATAATTTTTTTTCAGGCTACTGCCAGGGAGAAGGTTTCCGTGTAGGTTTTGGAGAGTGCACAGGGAAGATCCTCCCTGCTCTCACCTCTTAAACTGTCCACTACTGAGAGGAACAGAAACCACTACCAAACATGCAGTCACTTTAGGATGAATTTTACAGCCTAGTGTGATGTAGAAACATAGGTTCCAGACCATTCTTGATCAAGATTACATAGTATGGGCTATGTATCTTACTGCCAAACCTTTAAATGTTTTTGTCATGCCTACAAATGTACATGACATGTCTCTGCTTTCCAGATGTGTGTTGCACTAACACAGTATCATTCTTCCATGAAGTGTGTAGAAGAAACTTGATAAGAATGCCCTAGTGTATGTAGGATGTATTTGAAGTTAGGCTTACTTAATGTAAATAATGAAACATGCAAATTTAGAGTGTGTTGGTTTGGGCATGAAATGGTCTAGTGAACAGTACAATTATGATCTAAAATTCCACTGTAGTTATGTAGTTGTTGACTGCAATAGAATGATGATCATATCATGGAACACACATGAACTGCAATCAAAATACTAAAATAAATACACTACTACCCTAATTATGACTTCAATTTTGGAATGCTTGATATTTTGTGGTCTTCATAGTCACACAAAGTACAATATAATATGCTTTTTTGTTGCCACTTTCATAGCTAAGTTTTGGTTTCAAATGGTTAATAATGCACTCTGAGTGTGTCTTGATAACAACTAGGTCATGTGGTGAATTGGAATAAATGGTCATGTCAGAAAGTCTTGAACGTCGCCATGGTCTGTTTTTTTAAACACCACACATGTTGGAATAGTTAAAACCGGTTAGACAATTACATTTGAACATGTGCATTCTACTGTAAATGTCATAGGTTATTTGTTTCACTTGACTAAACAACTACACTTAGAAGCAGACATTTTGTGATTGTGTGGGTTACTGTTTAGTACATAGTGTGTTTAGTACATGTATTTGATATGTAGTACTACACCTATGTTTAACAGTTACACAATATAAGTTATATGTTATAGTACACCAGTTACTTTATGTATGGACGATATTACAATGAGGGTCTCTGTCATTTTGCACTGGCTCATTGGGGGACTTTTCTTGGGCGCAGTGTTGTACATGTACATGTGTCTCAACTTGGGAAAAACTACCGGTAAAGGAAAAGTTTCAGTGACGACCAAATCTACAAACTACACACGACTGTCTCAAGATATTCCAGGTAGGTCAGAAATGTTCATTATTTATTTATTTATTTAAAATGTTACAATACATTGCACAGAATTTCAGGTAGCATACATGTAGCTATATGTAGTGTTAATTTTTGAAAATATATTATAGGGACAAAATACAAACACAAAATACAAAATAATATTTATTATAGCAACTGTAGTTACACATGTAGTTTTATTCTCTTATGTACTTGCAGACAACAGGAGTCTTGCAGAGAAAAGGCAGTCTGAGAGGATGGCTCTGATTACAGAATACTGCAGGAAACATGACAGGAGAAACATTGTAAGTCCCCTGGTCTTCTTAATATAGTAATAGTATAGTAATCTTGTTATAGTAACAGTAATCTTATAATTGTCAATGAAGGTTGTTACACACCCAGGTAATGAGATACACAAGGAAGAAACTGCATAGATTTTGAAAACTGTAGCATCTTATATTTCTACATGGTAATGAGTATTATCTGCTTTTAAGTGATAAAATGGACTAAATCGTTATGTTATCTGCCCCAGTTACTTGTTCTGTATCATTCTGTACAGCTGGTATAACCACCCTTCGGCTTTCATGAATCATTCTGATACAGTTGCTCACTTGTGTTGTTCTTCGCAGACCTTCCCTACACTAAGACGTTTTGTCGTCAACGAAAGACACAAACTCCTGTACTGCCAAGTCTTCAAGACAGGGAGCACAACAACCTTAACAATCTTACACAACCTGGAACACAGGAGGAAAAAAAGCACATTTGGAATGAGGAAGTCTCTAGACAAACTCCCGTTCAAACGTCTGAAGTTTAACTACACGAAGGAAGAAGTTCGCTTGCGATTTGAAAAATACACCAAACTCCTTATTGTCCGTCATCCACTGGAAAGGTGGGTATATATATACGTATATTCTAATAAATTTTTAAACTTCTCCATGCTGCCTAAATCCATAACCAACACAGATTTTTTGCCAAATGGCTACCTTAGTATGCTGAAGGTTAAACAGTTTAATGTGTCTACAATTGTCTTACACTTAAGTAAAAAGTTTCGTTGGACACTCAGGCCGCGAAATTAACTTTTTTAAAAATTGTACCAGCACTGTCCTGACAATAAATTTCGATTGTCCCAAAGTGAGGTTGAACTGTCTAAACCTTTTTTTTTAAGTATGTATGACAACTTGAGGTCAACTTTATTTTGCTTATGTTCTGACTCCCTGGCACACTATAATTGGGACACTGTTAATTTCAAGCCCTGGGTCTTTTTGTAAGTGTCTTACTGAGTGATGGGGGAGGGGGGCACTAACAGACTTATTTCATCAAAATGAACTGACCTTTTGACCATGATTCCTACATGTAGGCTGGTATCAGCATGGAAAGACAAGTTTGTTGAGGCACCGTCACGGTTTTGGTACAGAAAACACTATCAGTCTATGATGGAGACTCTAAACACAGATACAGACATGCTACAGGTATGCTTTGATTTTATTTGTAAAGATATCAACCACATGACATTGATGTAATACTACTAGTATTGCATAGACATTGTCATGTATGACTTTCTACAGAAATACAAATGTAGCAGGATGTGTGTTTTCTGATTGTACTGAGTAAGACACTTATCTCCATTAAACTTTTAGAACAAAGTACTTATTTGGATATCAAGCTGTTGCGCTTGCAAGCTGCGATCATTTTGTAGGCATCCTTCCATCTCGAGAGATGATGGTAGTACCCTATGCCTGGTTTTGTGGCTATGTGCAACATCTAGAGTTATTACTTTCATAATTACATCATAGCTGATATCTTGTTTATGTTTATGTTTCTCTGAAGGTGTCAACTGAGAACATAACCAGCCAACTGGTGCCTTTCCAGGCCTTCATCAAGGCAGTAGGAACCAACCGGACAGACTGGCAGGACCTACACTGGGAACTCATCTCTAATCTCTGTACACCCTGTCAGGTATGTATTAAAATATCAAACCACCTTCACTTTATCATTATTTCATATTTCTGACAAACAGCACAAAGAGAGACCTTGGTACAGGCTACACAAAGAACATCCCTTTTGTACATTGCTGGTGTAAACAAACCAGATACATGTAGTGAGAAAAAATGACAAGGGGGTTCTGTCCCTGGTGCTGAATGCCTTCACTTAAGAACAGTTACTTTTTGAGGCTGTAGGGGCACTGTGTGTCTGTGTCTATGGTACTGTATGGAAATGCAGTGCCTATCCCTCTCCTTCCACTGCCTTTTAAAACAAGTTAGGTACCCAGAAGGCTTGTTTGTGAGTGTAATATACTTTATCGTCATACAATAAACCAACAATGCCTTCCTTGCTGACTTCTACATTTTTGTTTCATTTTTTTTTTAAGATTCACTATGATTTCATTGCTCACACGGAAACCCTATCGGATGACTTCCCGCTTTTCTTCAAGAAAGCCAACATCTTTGGTCGTGACGATCTTCTTCCAAAAACTCGAGAAAGAGCAGGCAAAAGGTTATTCTTGGATGTCTACAGACAAATTCCCCTGGAGGACTTACACAGAATCAAGCTGAAATTCACAGCAGACTATGACATGTTTGGGTACTCCTTTGATGAAGATATCACAGACATGTTAGATCGTTGATCCATTTTGCATGACTACATCAAGCTTCCACTGCTGGTGTGTTACGCCGAAAGGCGGTTATACCGGCTATACAGATACAGATACAGATACAGATACACTGGTCAGGCACCTAGAAGCTTGATATAACCAACACCTCTAAGTCAGGAGAGTTGGGAACACTAGTCTTTATGTATCACATTTTTGTCAAAACAAGAACTGTCTATAATTTTTGTGTTAGAGGCTGTGATGGTGACAGAGAATCCTGAGCTCCTATTGGACCCGAGCTACCATGGACCCAAGCTCCTATTGGTCTGATTTTCAAAGTGATAAAGAATCCTGAGCTGCTATTGGACTGATTTTCATAGTCACTGTCCTTGGTGCTGAATGCCATCCATGTACACAAACACACACATTTACATACATATACACACACACAGCTCCTATTGGACTGATTTTCATAGTGATAAAGAATCCTGAGCTCCTATTGGACTGATTTTTAGAGCGATAAAGGATCCTGAGCTCCTATTGGACTGATTTTCAAAGTGATAAAGAATCCTGAGCTCCTATTGGACTGATTTTCATAGTCACTGTCCTTGGTGCTGAATGCCATCCATGTACACAAACACACATTTACATACATTATAAATAATCCTGAGCTCCTATTGGACTGATCTTCATAGTGATAAAGAAACCTGCGCTCCTATTGGACTCCAATTAGACATTGAGAGATTGCACAACAAAGGCTCAGAAAAATTCAGACGCAAACATACTATTAGATATTTTTCATGTTTTATTGCAAAGATCACAGTTCAAAATAATGCTTCAAAGCACACTGTGCTGCATAAAATGTTACATGTACAGTATTAAGGCCTCTAAGAACAGTGCATTAAGCTTGATGATTTAAAAGAGTTGGATGTTAATTTGTAAGTCTATATCTTTGTAAGGTACATTTTGCACTTATAATCATATTCTTCAAAAGATCATTCAGATGTCATTATTGCAAGGTGCTAAAACTAATAACTTTGATACACTAGTGAAATACTTCACCCAAATTATGAGCTCAAATGTATGAAAATACAAAATAATATAAGTTGTTCATAAATGATAAAGAAGACATTGAATATATTTTGGAGCATTATAAAAGAGTGGCATTAAAAAACCCAATACCTTTATTTTTGTTTTATTTACTTACCAATATCAGTGTCTTTAAAATAAGATTCAGAAACATCAAAACAACCTTGAACTAATATCAGTGTAGACATTGTCATAATGTCAGCATGGTCATAATAAAACAATTGCATGCCATTGTCAATAATGTGAACAGTATGAAAGTGTCTTGCATTTATTCTCTTCAAAGTACAAACCCACCCAAAGTTATATTTCTGTTGATTCCATTGTTGCTGTTGACATGTTTCTGCTATAAAGTAAGCTTCACTACGTATAGATTGTCCTGGCTAATGTTAGGCACTTAATTTGCTGGAGTTCGGGTGACTCTCACAAGGGTGCGTTGTGATGTTGACGATTCCCTCCCTATACAGCTGCAGTAGGTGTCCAAATTCTTCCGAGATGTTGTGCACCATGGAGTTGATGCTGCTCTTGTCGTAGTAGTGGTAGGGGATGGTGCTGCCTTGTCTGTCTGTAGAGAACGGCCAGAATCCGTACAGCTGCACTTGGCTGCACAACGCTAGGGCGGCACTCGTGAGAAACAAACCTGGGGAAAAACATGGAGGGGGAGGGGATGCAAACTCAGACACGTTTTGGACTGTCTTCTTGTAAGGAGCTCGAGTAGCAGAATGAAGATTGAATTCTAATCTCTGTACTTGCAACTGAACCCTTTAGTTCAATTGAAATTCATTATTTACCACATTTATTTAGTTCTGAAAATATTCTCAGGTTACAAAATGTAATAGTTGGAAAAGTTGTGACAATTCTTTATTTCATTGTTTAGTTTATACTTTACTAGTAAAATGCGATAGAGGGCTAGAGCTTTCGATCAGTCACCCTGGTCTTCTTCAATAGACTTTTCCAGTGAGACTTGTCACGTGGCTTCTCTGAAGTGTAATGGGGGCTGACATCATTTAATTACCAGATACCTTTGACCCAGTCACACTTCGGAATTCTAGAAAAGCCACATGCACATGACTTGTACTCTCACTGAATCAGTCTATTGAAGAAGACCAGGGTGACAGGTCGAAAACTCTAGGTGAGAACAATACTTTATGTTGGATCAAAAGTTTTAAACTTTAAACATATCTGAAGGTTGTTAAGCCATACCCGTGGATAGTCTTCTCTCTGTGACGTTCCTCCTTCGCCAGAACTCTGTCACCCCCTCCAGGTATGTAGGGTGGGAGAAGTACAGCTTCTGTCGGGCGTGTCTGTGACGAGCTAACAAGTCTGCCTGCACAGACAGCATAAAAGATAGAATAGGAAGGTTGACATGACGTTTACATACACTGTTAAAGCTCCTCATGATGGACCCATGCTACTATTGAGTGATTTTAATAGTGATACAGAATCCTGAGGTCCTATTGGACTGATTTTCATAGTCACTGTCCTTGGTGCTGAATGCCATCCATGTACACAAACACACACACATACACGTATACATATATACATACACACACAGGTGTGTGACAAAGAATCCTGAGCTCCTATTGGACTGATTTTCATAGTGATAAAGTATCCTGAGCTCCTATTGGACAGATCTTCATAGTGATAAAGAATCCTGAGCTCCTATTGGACAGATCTTCATAGTGACAAAGAATCCTGAGCTCCTATTGGACTGATTTTCATAGTGATAAAGTATCCTGAGCTCCTATTGGACAGATCTTCATAGTGATAAAGAATCCTGAGCTCCTATTGGACAGATCTTCATAGTGATAAAGAATCCTGAGCTCCTATTGGACAGATCTTCATAGTGATAAAGAATCCTGAGCTCCTATTGGAATCCTGAGCTCCTATTGGACAGATCTTCATAGTGATAAAGTATCCTGAGCTCCTATTGGACAGATCTTCATAGTGATAAAGAATCCTGAGCTCCTATTGGACTGATTTTCATAGTGATACACAATCCTGAGCTCCTATTGGACTGATTTTCATAGTGATAAACAATCCTGAGCTCCTATTGGACTGATTTTCATAGTGATACACAATCCTGAGCTCCTATTGGACTGATTTTCCTAGTGATAAAGAATACTGAGCTCCTATTGGACAGATTCTCATAATGATAAAGAATCCTGAGCTCCTATTGGACAGATTCTCATAGTGATAAAGACTCCTGAGCTCCTATTGGACAGATTCTCATAGTGATAAAGAATCCTGAGCTCCTATTGGACTGATTTTCATAGTCACTGTCCTTGGTGCTGAATGCCATCCATGCACACAAACACACATTTACATACTTATACACACACAGGTGCGTGATAAATAATCCTGAGCTACTATTGGGCTGATTTTCATAGTGACAAACAATCCTGAGCTACTATTGGACAGATCTGCATAATGATGAAGAATTCTGAGCTCCCATTGGTCTGATTTTCATAGTGAGGAAGAATCCTGAGCTCCTATTGGACTCCGATTAGCTGAACTGACAATGAGAGATTGAGCAACAAAGGTGATTTATCCTTTGAACCTTTAAACATCATTCATGTATACCTGCAACGTCAAAAGAAGAAAGAGCTATAAAATGCCATCCCTACTCTGATGTAGAGTAGTTTTGTCCTAACAACTTGAATCCCAGACTCACCTTAATAACAATGTCAGTCACCTCCCTGAAGTGGAATGGGTTGGTGTAAACAAGTGCGTTGCCATAGTGACCCATGTCCCTCAGAAACCTGTCCTGGTCTCTTCTCATTAACAACCATTTATACCTTCAAAAGGAGAGAAAACAAGAAATTTTTATTCCTAGATATCTCTGAGATTAGCGCTTAAAGCTGCTACATATACAGCTAGAAAGGTAACATTTACAAAGCAAATGCATAATGTTTACCTTCACCTGGTCTAACCCAACACACTGCACTGTTTATCCTTACTCAAAGTCAGATACATTCACATGTATGATGAGCAGCCCAACTCTCCAACTCTGTTCTGCTACATAATGTACATTGTAACCCAGCACTACAGGGTGTCTGCTAGAGCACCAGTTACCATGGTGACAGACGTCTGGTCCAGGTCACTTACTTGATTTGTTTGGAAGGGAAGAAGAAGAGGAAACTGAGCAAAAACAATATGTTTTCCTTCATACAAGTAACTACCCAGTCAAAATATAAAATATTGCATGGAAAAACTGTCGTAATTCTATTAGAAAAATGCGTTGTCTTCGTAAATGTTGTTGATGATTATATCGATCTGAAAATTACCACAGACTTACGTGTGTATGAGAATGGACGGGTTTAGCGTCATCAGTCCAGTTTTTCTACCAACATCTTCAGTGTAGTTCCCGTCAACTGGAGCGAAGTTACATCTGTCAAATAGGGAAATACAATAAAGAATGTTTAAATCTTAGTGACTGCATGTTAGAGATCAGTAATCCCATAATTTTACCGCTGACATATATTCTGTACGTAGTTTGCCGCATACATGTATTTTGTACATAAGATGACTTTCTTAAGACGTATGTACTATGTATTTAGTGTTGTTACCCTCCATGAAAATGGGGGTACTGTTTTTACTCCGTTTCATGTTTGGTCTGATATCTGAAGATCGGTGAGAAGGAACTGTACGATATTTGGCAGATTGATGGATGGGGCCTTGGAGATTGTGTAGGTTGACTTTGAGCCCCTGGTGATTGACCTTGGTACTGCAGTTTAATTTTTTTATTCTGTTGTTTTCGCGTTATGGACTGTTTGTGCGATATTAAGGTAGCATGTAGTTGTTATTACCATGGTTTAGTGGTTTAAATTTGGGTCCCCTAGCTGTTTGCGTTTGATATTTACAAAATGTTTAATGTTGGACTTTTTGTGTTGAATGTTTGGAAAATCTAGGGGATGGTTTGGTATGATTTTTGGTATGTGGGTAGTTGTTGAGTCTCTTTGTGTTTTGGAGTGCATTAGCAGGTTGTCGCATATTTTTATTGCTTGATTTAAAAGGATTTTCACTTTTTCACCCCTACTTCATAATAGGATGGTCTGTTTGACCCAAAAGTTGGGACAGAGTGTTTTTGTTTATACCTCCAGCTGGCAGGTCAACCCAGGCAGCCCTATCTATTTTTACCCGGAAAATAAATCTTGTTTGTCTGGTCTGCAGGTCATTTGTCTGGTCATTGACCTACATGTACAGGCAAATGTAGCCTGGGTACCATCCCCAGTAGTATATTCGCAAACTCTATAACAGTTTGACTCATAATATCTCTATTGAAATACACCAAAAGATTACAAAATAACAAGCTATTTCATGGAGGGATGATGTCTACGACTTCTCCTTGTTTGATCTTTGTTCTAGTAGACCATACGAAAGTACTGTACTTTTCTTCTGTACTTTTGTCGAGTCAATAATGATAATATAGAAAATATTACCGCTGTCAATTTTGGAGAACGCGTTTTTGTTAGTGATAAACAGATGAAAAGATTTTGTAAAAAGAAAATGAATAGGTTCGTTCGTACTTAACTGTACGGAGACACAAGCAAACATACAAGCACGCAAAATAATAGCAAAAACTAAATTAGTACCATGACGAAGTGATGTACCTTATAACCAAGTCGGAAGAGTCTATTCTGTTGCTACATTTGCTGTTTTTCAGGATGCCACTGTTACCGACCACGGCACATGTGTTGAATCTGTCGTCTTTGGAAAAAGGCAGCTCCTGCAAAACGACAATAAAATCGAAATTGCTGTAAAACGCACGTGTACATGTATAGTACGTACATGTACTTTGATTCTTAATTAACCGCTGAGCAAATGTGCAAACGCCGTTCTCAATAAGATTTATCTAGTAACGTTTAACGAGTATCTATGAATACATGGATATGTGAATGAATTGACATTGCTTCTTCAATACGACCATACATAACAAACTAAATGTTTATAAGTTTATAAGTTCAAACAAGGCCTACTAAAACACATGAGGGACATGAATAAGTAGAGCACATACGATGTTACACATTTGTTTTCTTTTAAAATACTATGTAATGTAAACTAAATGTATATGTAATGTGATGTCTTATACTACCCTCTCCTGGAAGAATAGCTGCCACCCTCGGGTGGGGAGGTAAAGGAGAGCTTTTCCTCAATAAACCTCAATACTGAACCTCAATAAGTAGACCTACAAGCAGTATGCGATGTTTAGTCCTACCTTTGGCAATCTAAACCAGACAGGTCCTGAGACTGGGATTCGAACTTTCTTGTTCTTCTCGAAGAAGTACATAAGAGAGTTCAGTGGGGAATTCTTCTTCGTTGCTGTGAAATATTCGTGGAAGTGACTGATCTCTAAAAGATCTCGCCTACAGAGTGAAAGAAGACAAACTTCAGTAAGGTCTTCCCAGCTGTCTGTATAATATGATAAGTTGGCAATTCATTGTTTTGTACGTATGTCAATTTTGTTAACGTTGTACTCGCGTATCTGTCTGTATGTTTACATGTAGTCTATATTATATAGCTAACGGTCCAATAAGCCGCTCCCTCTGGCGCCCAATGTTATATTGCAGCCTACACCTACCTAAGGCCATGTTGATTTGATTATATGGATGACATCCTCCGGGAGCCCCAAAACTGATGCGAGCGTACGACTAAAAAAAAGTTTTGCAAAAAAAAAAGTTCTTTTCATTATGAAATCTACGTGGTCATGAGGGTTGAGCAAATGGCACAGAATATGGTTTGGCGAATAATCTAGTCTTCAAGTTCATTTCTTTACAATTTCGTCTTTTTTCGTTTGATTTTGGCATTCTACGACATTGGTATGGTTTTTACTTATTTTTTTGTAACTTACGGTATATTTTTGCTCATTTTGCAACTGTTTTGTACGATTTACAGTATGGTTGAAAACTTTTTTTTTTGGAAACGGCCGAAAATTCATGCGCGCGCGGATGTCATCCATATAATCAAATCAACATGGCCTTACAGAGTAATGAAAAGAAAATTACATGCAATTTCAGGCAGTTGTAGTTTGATAAACTAGCAGATAATAAGTACAAGATTACACCCCCAAATGTACAAATTAATCAATTAGTATGTACATATGAGCAATAAGTAATAGTACACGACTCATAAGTAATTTCATACTCCACTCAATGACACGTATATAACATGTAAGAATGTGTAATTACGCATTCCATGATTTATGTGCATCTATCGTGATCATGAGATGCATATGATATTTCATGAGGGGATCAATATCAATATTATCTTGTCTTTCTGTGTTATATTATAACTGAACAACGGTTCGGTAAAGCCCGAACAAGGGGCCAGGTTTACAATAGCTATCGTGGTTTGGGCAGGCTGTCTTCGGGGCTCTAATAGTTTCCCCCCGTCCAGCTCAACAGACCGCCCGGTAGAAGTGTTACGTCTGTAGAAGCGGGGAACCTAGCTGAGTCGGGCGGGGCAAGAGCTTCTGAAGCCCCGAAGAGAGCCCGTCCCAACAGCGACAGACTGGACACCAGGCTAGGTTTACAAAAATTGGTACAATTTCGTGGGCGGTTAGAAATTGATAATCACGATGTACATGTAGACATTGATCACTGTCTGCTGCCTACCCTGGATTTCTAGACCAGCAGCGGGACGCTAACCCTTGCCCTTCGGCAGCCAAGAGCCCCTTCGCCGTCTAGTGTAGGGCCAGCCAAATTCCCGTAGCGGTAATTTAGACCGGCGGGCAAAGGGGCTCTTGGCTGCCGAAGGGATAGGGTTTAATAGCGGACCGCTTCTAGTCTGGCATCTGCGGCCTTACCTGAAGATATCTATTGCTGTTTTGTTAAACCTCCACTGTGAACTGTTCATCTTCTGTATCGCGACGGACAAAGAGTCCGTGTTTCCCCTGAAAAACAAGAAGTCAAAGATATCACACCTCCGTATTTTTCAGAGATTACAAATAATAATCAGAGTTTATTCATTCATAATATTATTGTTAGTGAATTTCTTACATTTTCCCACTGGACCTCTTAAGGCAAAGGGCATACTTATAGCAGGAAATTGAAGACAGGAAATGAGATAACCTTTTCTTGAACCTTTGACCTAACTTCCTGTTAGTGTTCCTGGCGTGCCTATCATGTGAAAATAACTATGGAACACAAACAAACGCACATACTGGAAATAAAACATCTGTACATTAACAAAATGTAACAAAATTTTGATCTGAATCACTTATATTCATATAACACTAAATGGTCTAGCTGAATATCATCCTTACGTAGGTTTTTTAAAATATATAATTTATGAAATTTTATTTTACTGTTTTATTGACCAAAACACATAGCGACTGTAGGCTCAGAATTACGTTTTCATACACATGATACTTTAAAAGTTCACGTCTTGACTTGATTACATACCCGAATACATCAAACACAATTAAAATGAAATGATTATTAAAAATAAGAAATGCCCCCTCCACTCAAAGCACGCGACTCAAAACAACAAAGACAATCACCACAAAGCACCCTTTCTATTAATTTTAACCTACATTGCCACATATGATAATATTCATTCATCAACTAGCTAAATAGGGCGCCGCTGTCAGTCATTTCATAACGCAATTCGTCTCGTTTATTGACTCGCCATCACAAATATTGTTTAATCTGCTCTTTTCTACCCTTTGTTTTTGACAGGAAAGGACATTGACAAATGGCGGTTGTCAGCACTTTATTGATCGTCCGCAGATTCGAGCGATGCTGGCATGACGATGATGTTTATCTATTCATCTGTAGTATATTTCTGATTGCGTCATACATCATACACGGACAATTGTGTCATGTTTTTCTCACGAAAATCAATATAATAATTCACAAACACAAGTGTAGCCTCCACCAGGCCTTCCTTAAGGGGGTTACATGTAGAATTAGCCTCTACCAGGCTTCGGGAGGCGGCAGAAAAGAGTAGAATTTTCAAATAGAGAAGTAACATTTGCAAAGCAAATGCATAATGTTTACCTTCGGACATGGTCTGCCCTGTTAATTTTTACTCAAACATATTCACATACATGTACTACGAGTATATGGTGACAGGAGTAGAGCAGACCATGAAATTGCAACATTATGTAACCCAAGACCAGTCACCATGGTGGCAGACGTCAACAAATCATGCCATTGGCCAGGTCACAGGTTAGTGTTTGGAACAGAAGAGGTGGAGGAAGAAACTGAGTAAAAACAATATGTTTTCCTTCGGTAAACATAAATAGAGAGATATCTTGACTGCAAACTGTATTCTCTAGCGGACCAACTTCCAATGTGTACGCCTTGACAAAGAATAGGCCACAATGATTTAATTCTATGCATGACATCCACGCGCGCATTGATTTTCGCCTGTTCTTCAAAAATAAGAAATAAAAAATCACCTCCACGGAACTCAAGAACTCAGTACGGTGCCGACTCAATACTCATAAATGCCACAAAAGGCCAGCATGTGCCGGCTTGTCATTACCCTGGGTGCCAAACTAGTATCGGGCCGTGAGCCGTTTTCCTTCGGCAGCCAAGAACCCTTCCCCCGCCTATCTAAATTACCGCTACGGGGGAGTTGAGCCCGAGGGGTTTGTCCGGCCCTAGAACTACTTTGGCATCCAGGGTAGTTGTCATAAAAGTCGCCATGTACTACAGAATACCAGCTTTGTATTAGCTGCATGTTTTTGGCTGGAAATTTTTACTCGCCCGCGCGCACTAGTTTGCGGGTCTTCAGAGATGTCATCCATAAGATTGAGGCAGTGTGGCCCTATGACCTTTACTGTCCTTGCCCCAATACAGATATTATCAATAACAAAAGATGAATGTCGCTCCATGACGCTTGGAGGCGCCGCAAATGTTACATTAGCGATCGCTAAAGGTCAGTGACCTACAGTGTGTATCGCACAATGGAATCAATTGCCTGTGTAAAATCAATGATATACGTTTATACATTATATATCTAATATATGGTGTTTACATGTAATGTCATAACCATCACGCTGCAGATTGCATCTGGTTAGCGTTGATTCAACTTAGTGAACGTACTACATTTTTTTAAATTATATATATATATATGTGTGTGATTTGTGTCTTTAGTATTGGGTTACTAACGCCCTACTCTGGCTTTTATTAATAGCAGTATTTCATCTTAAAAATAGGAATTATAAGAATATTTTGTCTTGATTTTGGGTAATCAATGTATCGTATCATAATTACCTGAGTGTAATTATAACATCATATAAGTTTATATTTTTTGCTGGTAACTTTCGGGTTTAATTATCCAACATGGCGGACAATGCTTACGACATGGTCACGTGAGTGCAAAAAAAATCCTTATCGCCTACCATTAACAATAAAAGCTATCAGCAATTATCATATAAACACGTGCTAACAGCGTGGCAATATTGATATACTTGTGTCCTTCTTAGTGGGTTTATTACGTCCTATAACATCTGTGAATGACAATATCTCATTTTCAAAACATGAAGCATTGGAAATTCTGTCTAGGTTTTCAGGAGTCGAGTTTTTTTTTTCGATAATTGTGTTAAATCGTCTGAGTTGTCTGGGAGGCGACTAGACCGAAGTCAATACCATCCCAGATAGTACTGACAAATGTCCTCTCGCGACCAGGACAGACGTGATGTGGTTACAAAATAACCTCCCAGTACATGCAGGACAAATACCAAGTCATTTACTAATTGGATTGTGCGTCTGGATAGAGGGCACATCGTAATACATGCAGACAGGGACACCAGAAAGTCCGTAATCGAACGAAATGGAGCGAAATGGAACGAAAGAAAATATGTAACATTAAGTTTTTAATACAAACGTGAGTGGTGAATACTAGTAAATAATCTGACGTGTTTAATTTCTAAAACCTATTTAATACTATTAGATGTCAGCTTATTTATCTATCACTTTCTTCTGCATTGAAAACTTTCAAGCTATTTGCCTTATATTTCGCCATCTTCATGTATTTCATTTCATTGTATTAACGCAATTGTACATATTTTGTTCGAAGGGACACACGTCGTTTTTGCTACATTTCCTCTTCTTCTCCCGTTCCAAACACTGACCTCTGACCTGGCCAATGACCTGATTTGTTGACGTCTCTCACCATGGTAACTGGTGTTGGGTTACATGGGTTACATGATGCTGCAATTTTATCATTAGGAGGGATTTATACTCCTGTCTGATCATATATATGAATGTATTTGAGTAAGAATTAACAGAACAGACCATGTGCGGAGGTAAACATTATGCATTTGCTTTGCAAATGTTACCTAAGTTAGTTTCTAGTTTTCTTTTATAATAATTTTCATTTCGTGCATTTTGGTTCATTTCGCACTTTCTGTGCAGCGCGCAGACATGAGGTTATAAATAGCTGGTCGGGCTCTGTTATCATTTCAGCTTGTCGCGATCGATGTAGCCGCGTAGTGACGCAAGTTCCAGAGGAAACATGTGGGGGTTATATCGGTCTCCACGCTAAAGATAGCAACTAGGGGTTCGACCCTAACTCCACCGTTTTTAAACCATCCCTAGTTTCAATAACGTATTTTTTATACTATTGACAACTAGTGGATAAAATGTAGAGGTCGTGGTATTTTGGATTAGTAGTTAGAGCAGCTGGAGGGACAGTATTGCCCTGGCCTGTGAAGCTGTAAATGATTTAGCTATGTTAGAATATGGCCATCGATTGTGTATGGATTTTGTTCCTGGTGTCGCCCAGAGGACTCAGTACTGATGGCACATTGTAGCCTATGGGGGCTGCTGTCAGCATAATACTCAGGCTAGATCATTAATAATAAGGCATATACAAATGTACTATAGGTACAAGTTGGTGAAACATCATATTGCCAAATGATGATACATTCGATACATTTAACTGTAAAAACACATAATATACACTGTAGATTATTTCAATGATTCTTGGTGGGAAAATATAAACTCGTACAGCGTTTAGTAGTTTCAGGGTACTGAAATTAAGAATATAAACACGTCAAAGCTTAAGTTTTCTAAGCATTTACGTACCTGCAACAATTGTTGAATACTGGAAGGCGAGAAGTTCTGTTAGACGATATTCTCTGTCGTACGACGGTTTTCTTGGAGGTTGTCGTGTAGAAGGCATGTTGTAGCAGTGTGCCGTCTTTCCCCAGCCAGAGCCACAAGGCATTCACGACCAAGACAAGAAACAAGAGTCTTATAAACCAGACGGCGAGAGGAGACCAGGGTTGGGTGCCTTTCCTGGGCGGCATAGCTCCCCTACTGACGTCATGTAGCGGCGAGAGAGAATTATTGCTATGAAACTTAACACGTGAAAGGAGAGATGTTGATCATTGCGCCCTCATGTAAAAGTAATGCAGGCCACACGGACTTAATTTTGTGGATGACATTCTCGTATGACCCCCAAACTAGGTGCGCGCGGGCGAATAAAAAATTCCAGCTAATGCTGCCAAATGAATACAAAGCTGGCATTGTGAATTTACGGTACCGTAGTACGTAGCGACTTTTATTACATATTGGCCTTTTGCGCCTCATGTAAAAGTAATACGGGCCACACGGACATAATTTTATGGATGACATCGTCTGAAGCTAGGCCCCCGAACTAGTGCACGCGGGCAAATAAAAAATTCCAGGAAAATGCTGCTAATACAAAGCTGGTATTGTGAATTTACGGTAGCGTAGTACATAGCGACTTTTATTACATATTGGCCTTTTGCGCCCCATGTAAAAGTAATACGGGTCATACTGGCTTAAACTTATGGATGACATCGTCTTATGATCCCCAAACTAGTGCGCGCGGGCGAAAAAAATTCCAGAAAAAAAAATGCTGCTAATACAAAGCTGGTATTGTGAATTTACGCCAGCACATAGTACTCAAACACGTAAAAGTAATAAGGCCACGCTGACTTAATTTTATGGATGACATCCTCTGAAGACCCCCAAACTAGTGTGCGCGAGCTAATAAACAATTCCATCAAAAAAAAAAGAAGCTGAATAGGTATTGTGAATTTACGGTAGTACATAGCAACTTTTATAACAAGCAGGCACACATACTGACCTTTTGTGGCATTTATGAGTCGGCACTGTACTGAGTTCGTGAGTTCCGTGGAGCTTCGGCAGCCTGGGTGCCGTCCTCCATAGTTACCGACGGCTCCCTATTATCGCTGGCTACCATGGACTACGGAGGATGGCACCCAGACCAGAGCCTCAGGAGGTGATTTTTTTTGCCAGGCGAAAATCAACGTGCGTGGATGTCATCCATAAAATTAAATCAGCGTGGCCTACAATAACCTGGAAAACTGATGTGGTCGCGGCCGGGCTAGCGTGACCCTGGGATGAGGAATGAAACGTGTACACGCTCACATGGTTTATGATAGACAAGGAAAACACACCGAGAGGTGCCCTTGTCAGTTACATGGAGCTATCGAGGGGCTGTGACATGGGTAGGGAGTAGCCTCTACCAGGCACCGCGGATCGCTGGAAAAATAGTAGAAATTGGCCGAAATAAAGGGATAGTATACCAGAAAAGATCCCGGGCCAGACTCACGGAGGTCGCAAATGGGAGCTTCTATAGCCCTGGATCTTCTCTGGTATTTTTCCAGCGATCCGCGGTGCCTGGTAGAGGCTAAGTAGGGAGGGCGTGCCCCAGTTAAGCTAAGGTCCCAATTGGGAAAAGGGGCCCTGGCGGGTAGTTCCCGGGCTGTTTTTTACCACTTTCGGGCGGGACCCCGACGTGGCCCCGCGGGGCACCCTGCGGCTACCGGGATATTTTTTGGCCCGTCGGGGCCCCGATAAGAATTTAATTCTGAGTTAAATTCTACCCGGGCCTCGCTAACAACAAGACGCCGTGACCTCATCGTGAGAACACCGGGAGGTACCCCTCCGGTTGCCGGCATTCCACCGGGACACATTTCTTACGTCACAGACCAGATGAACAGAATAAAGGTGTGTACTTCGTAAACCCGGGTAAAATGTGTGACCTCACAGATGAAATGATCACAACAAATACGTGAATTCTGCATTACGTATAGGTCAATACAAGACATCGTCAGAGAATCTGCTGGGTACCTGCCGGGTGCCTGCCGGATACCGACCAAAGAGGGTGACAAAAGTTCTAACGAAATGCTACTGAAGGAAACTTTTAATTGTGACCACGACAGACGATGCCCGCTCGACTCCTGAACCCGGCCGGGGCCAGCCGGGGCTACATCCCCGACGGGCACCGGCGTAATTGGGACCTTAGCTTTAGCGACCGGCTAGAAGGTCACAGCCTCCCCCTACCGGCTTAAAATATCCAGGGACAGCTGCCGGGAATTCTATCCACTGACATGTCCTTCATGATCAGTTACCTCCATGAAAAATGGAGGTATTGTTTTTGTTTGTGTGTGTGTGTGTGTGTGTGTGTGTGTGTGTGTGTGTGTCTGTGTGTGTGTGTGTGTGTTGTGTGCGTGTGTGTGTGTGTGTGTGCGTGTGTCTGTCTGTCAGTGTCTGTCTGCCTTGTGTGTTTCCGCACATTTGTAGATCAGCATAACTTCAGAACGCCTTTATGGATTGTGATGATATTTGGTATGTTGGTAGGTCATAGGAAGACCAAGGTCAAATATGGGCCTCCTGGTGGCTTACCTTGGTACTGCAGCAAAATTTCCTGTTTTAGCCGTTTCTAAGGCCTGGTAGAAGCTACCCAAGTGCCCGGATGCTAGACATCGGTCATAATTATAGGTGTACACGTCTGTACACTATATAATAGTCCAACAAGTCCAACAAGTCAAATCATTTAGTACCAACACCTCTAACAGAACACCTTGCTCTCGGCCAAAAGGATCCCCGTTCTTGTTACTACTAGTAGTAAACTGTGAGTACATGTATCTACATCATATCTAAGTTTCCTATAGCTAAACACATGTAATGTATAGCGACCAAACTTTTAAGGGAAGCCACGTTAAGGTTGACTGAACTTCGTAGCAAGGTCATGCATTCATATCGTCGAAAGAATTAAAGTATATGACATGGAAGACATCCTTAATTTAAGCTTGCTCGGCACTATATAGCTAACATGAACACACCGTTACGCGTTAGGCAAGTTTAAGATTTGAAAAAAATTACTTCATACAGATTTATGTCAAATCCTAGGGTCTCTCCTGCTACTTACAATCAATCTACTTCAGTGTCGACTTGTCGTTTTTCCAGACTATATCAGTAAGGTTTTGAAGCATCTTCCTGGGCATTCTTCCCGTATAATAGTAATAATATAAGTAAAAAGAAAAAAAAATGCAGGATAAATGGTTTCAAATTGGGCTTGTTACGCCCTCCCCAGACAGGGCGAGGTTTCTATAATGACCCACCAATTATAAACCCTGGGGTCTCAGACTAACAGTGTCTAATTGCGACCTTGCTATGGTTGAGACAGAAACCGGTATATCCAGGTTAGTATACACGTGCTCTCGAGGGCATGGTAGTCTCGGCAACAGGCATGGAGTGGAGTCTTTGTCAAACAATGAGCTTCTGTGACGTCACGTTATGCAGATAGAACACGTGACTCGGTGAGCAGTAGCAGAATGTTTGTGGCGCCCCCCGTCTCGGTGGAGTACTGGCAGATGTAGATAACTATACAGTTTTAAATCATCAAATGCACGTGTTTTGTTGGTATTAGCATGTAAACAGCCTGACGTTTGTTTTATCTTCATATTATAGTTAGTTATCCAGGATGTCGGCCATGAAAACAATCAAGTTGTTTGAAAATGCGGACTTCGCGGGCGAAGAGCGAGTATTCCTCTGCGCAGGGCCGTACCGCGACAGTGAGTATCACCCTGTTTCTCACCAAAACGATATCGTGCTTGTTACTAGTCCTTATTTCTATTTCTTTGTACGATTCATTTGCCAAATGATGTTTAGCAGGCTATCGGATAGAGCCTGAACTAGGTTCTACAACATTCAGAGCTATCAGACTATCTTCTGCTTCTTCATATAGACTGCTTATTTCACTGTCAATTGATTTATTTATTGATTGATTGATCGATCGATATTCTCGTTCTGTTTTCACTAGTTCCGTCCGTGGATGCCGGCAAATGCTCGTCCATCGTGGTCGAGTCAGGAACCTGGATACTGTACGAGGATAAAGACTACATGGGGAAGGCATACATCCTGACCAAGGGACAGTACTCCAACCCGGCTAAATGGACAGGTATATATGTTCTCACTCAACACGTCAGGGACATCTTGGTATAAAAAAGGAAAGGTAAATTTTTCTAATGTCGTAGGGGCAGTGGTGGTATTTATTCCACTGTTTACGGTATACGTCCTGACCAAGGGACAGTACTCCAACCCGGCCAAATGGACAGGTATATAAGTTATGTTCTCTCTCAACAAGTCAGGGACAACTTTTTATGCGGTTCTTAAGATTCTTTTCCTACTGACACAAGCGTTAAGAATCATATCTATAGTGATAACCTGTTCACTGTGACCATTTGTTTATTGATATTAATATTAATATATAGCCCCTTGATAAGTGGTCACTGTAGACAAGTTTAAGACTGTAACCAACTAGTTTTTCCTAACCTCCCGGCATGCCTTGCAGGTTCCGGTGGTACCATCTCGTGTGTCCGGTGTGTTGGTGACGACACGCTGACTCTGTTCGAACACAGTAACTTTAACGGCCGGGCGTGCACACTCACCGGGCAGGCACCCAACCTCACACGGGTACGCTTCAACGACAAGGCGTCCTCAGCCATTGTTACAGGTAGATGTACTATGTTTACCTTCGCAGAAGGACAAGCGTATTGTTTTTGCTATCTTCTTCTTCTTCTCTGATTTCTTCTTCTTCTTCTATGAATTCTTCTTCTCCGACTTCTTCTTCGAACACGTAAGGTCAATGACCGGGACCAGACGTCTGTCACCATGGTAACTGGTGCTGTAGCAGACAGCACCATGTGGTATTGGATTACATTATGTAGCAAGCTGCAGCACAGTATTGGAGGGACTGGCTTAATATATATAAAGAAACAGAGCATTAGACTTTTAGTACTTAGCGTTACAATGTAGTATTTCTGTATTCTATAGTCCATTTTTTGTCTTTTTATACTACGTTGGTTTATTGGTTGATTAAGATACCCTTTAGCCCCATGAGGGGTTAATCTTCCAGGGCTCAGCATTAGACAAAGGTATGCATTTAGTTAGCCCATTTGGACAGGGATATGTAATAAAGATTCATTAAATCTAATAACTTTTCTTCCCAGGAAAGTTCACCTGGCAGGTGTGTGAGGATGAAGACTTCGGCGGGCGGAAGTGGGACCTGAAGCCGGGCAGCTACCCGGACCCGGCCGGCATGGGGGGACACGACGTCCTGTCGTCCGCGCGGCCGTGTCAGGAGAACCCCGGGATAGAGCTGTTCGAACACACCGACTTCAAGGGACAGAGCGTCTCGTGTGGACACACTGGGACACTGGTCGAAGGTTCATTCATTCGTTCGTTCGTTCGCTCGCTCGTTCGTTCGTTCGTTCCTTTCTTCATTTACTCATTCATTCACCCATCCATTCATCATATTCGTTCATTCATCCGTCCATCCACCCATCATCTATCCATTCATTCATTCTTTCGTTCATCCATCCATCCATTCATTCTTTCGTTCATCCATCCATCCATCCATTCATTCATCCACCCATCCATTCATTCATTAATCTATCTATTCATTCCTACGTTCATTCACTCATCCATCCATCCATCCAGCTATTCATTCATCCGCACATCCATTCATATATCTATCCATCCATCCATTAATCCAGTCAGTCAACCATTCCTTTCAATTCTTTCTTCCTTCATCTGAGATAGCCAAATAGAACGTACAAATCACTTCAAAAGTTTACACATGGTACTACTATTTCTTAACTTTTTTGTATATGTATATGTAGATCATATTCCTTAACAAGAAGACTACCCACGATCTGTATGTTTTTGTGCAGTTGGCTGGCTGGGAGGCGGCTTTAACAACAAGTGTTCGTCCATCAAGGTGCACCAGGGCACGTGGGTCGTGTACGAACACATTAACTTCCGCGGTAAGGCGCACGTACTGAAACCAGGGGAATACTCCGACTGCACCAAATGGCAAGGTATGGCTAACTACAGCCCATTTTTAAACTTGACCTTGGTATCTCCAACGGTTATCTGCCTGCCAAAAATCATGAACATCATCAGAGTTATGCCACATAGTCTCCCACACTGTAGCAAAGTGATTTCATAGCCTTCTGACGAAGGCAACCATGGGCATGGGTCATTCATTATAAGCCTTCTGTAGCCGTTTGGCACGAAATCTGCACTGGTTATGGCGTTAGGCAGTATGGAGAAGGTTAAGCTTCGCAGAAGGAAATCATATTGTTCTGCTCAGTTTCTTCTTCCTCTTCTTCTTCTCCAAACAAATAAGGTCAATGACCTGAACCAGACGTCTGTCACCATGGTAACTAGCATTGTAACAGTCTGTGGTGTTGGGTTACATTATGTTGGCAGGACAGAGCTAGAGTGTCTGCTCATGTACATGTATTTGCTTTGCAAATGTTACCTTTCTAGTTATCACAATTCTATTATCTGTAGGAGAAGAGGACACCATCACGTCAGTCCGTAGTGTTCCCGGTAACGCCCTGGTTCTATTCGGCGGTGATGACTTCTCCAGTTACTCCGCCCTGCCGCTTGTAGAGAGTCACGGGAACTTCGCCGACCTGGGGTTCGACGACAAAGCCTCTTCTGCCATTGTTACTGGTGAGTTCTACTACTTTCAAATAGTCTACTTAAAATACACAGCCAAACGTGTCCCAAGCGACCACCTCTATAAGACTTGCTCAAGCCGACCACTTGTCCAACGCGACCGAGATTGACACTATTTGCGAGCACACATGGCCTAATCTCTGCTTATAACGACCGCCTCATTTTCAAGCGTTTTTGATGATTAAACTTGGAATAATTTGGATAGCATCGGCTAGTTTGCCTTTTGTATAAGAACACCACTTGTCCACAAGAGGAATGCTTTTCCTCGGTACACTACTGGGTGGCCATCTTGAACAAGTTTCACTGTATGTATGTTTTGATTTGTTCTCTCTGTACAGGAGGTGACTGGGAAGTGTATGAAGACTCGTCATTCGGTGGTAAGCAGTGGAAGCTGAGCCCGGGACAGTACACCAGCCTCGCTACCTTGGGGTGTAACGACAAACTCAGCTCTGCAAAACGCCTTTAAACATTTCACAGAACCACGAAAATAGTTAACTACAAACGTGTTGGTGACGGTGGGTGTCCTATTCCAGAACATTTCATTCCATGATTAGCAATGTCAAATTTAGGAATATCATGTTAAAACGTTAATGTACTTTGGTGCTTTCTATCTTTTCAAGGCTTAGCTTAACTGGTTGCAGTTTTTCGTGGATTAAGTAGGGGGCGTTGCAAATCAGTTACTAGTAACAAACATTATCTGTTACAACGTCAGCGTCTCAAACAGACCGACGACTTTAGACCGTTGACTTAATGGGTACAATACAAATGTAGGGATCTATTGCTGACTTTATTTACAAACTTAAGATCTGAGTTTATGTATGCCAAGTTCACTTGACCAGTCAGATTCAAAATATATATCATAATACAAGTCCGATCGACAGTTCCCAAAATGTAGTCCTGAATATCACTAAAGTGTAAAGTCTAATTTCTTTCAGGGGAATTCCCAAAATGGGTTTGCCTGTCTTTGTATTTCCTTTGTCCGGAGAGGTAGAAACCTTTTTGGTCGTCCCTGACGTCGTTTCGTCCGAAAACCCCATTTTCACGGTTTTCGTTGGATGTTTGGTCACCATTGCGTCAGAATATGAATATGTCTATCTGTTGCAGAGGAGATTTTTTCCAACATAGCATTTGGAAACTAAAGGCGGAGTATATGCGCGAATACGACCTTATATAAGACATTCTGCCGAAGTGCTATGCACAATACAATACGGGTTTCGCGCAGGTGTAGTACGTTCTGCCGACGTGCTCCAAACACCGTGTGTGAGTTCGGCCTTCACGGAGTACTCCAGCTTTCACGCACGATTACGTTCTGTCTGTAGTTGACCTTGCTTAAGGTCAAAGCGTGCTGGGTGGATGGCGGAAAAATCTTAGCCTCTTCCAGGCTTCCCAGGATGCTGGAGAAATAACAGAAATTGATCATGACCAAATGAACTGAATATTTTACCAGTGGAGTTAGCCAGTCTAGGGAGCACAATTTGCAATGTTGTACACCTCCGGCATACTATTCCCAGCTTTTTTCGGTGACGTGAACCATGTGTATGCATTCATAGTGCATGCAGCTAGGAGAAAAATCTGTCTCACGGCTGCATTAAACGCCTTAGATGTAGCTAGCTCCATGGAGGTCTAGCTTTGCGGATTAGGAGCTAGCTCCATGGAGGTGATAAGTACAGCCCCTTCTTCTCTTTGCCCAATGCTTGCCTTTCCACCAACTTGGTGCAAGCTAGAAAAAAAAACTGACAAAAAAGTTGATTTTGAACAGTACGCCAAGTCTTCTTTTCAAATACATGTAATATTATTGCTGATTCTGCCGCTCATAATCAATAGAAAAGAATAGTCTATTGATGTAAACTTAGGTTGTGAACAGTCATGCTAAATACAACAATTTTGCAAGTTTATTATTTTCCGTTTTTCTATTATGTTTTTTCTATTCAGCGATGCCCACTTCACCGTGAGAATTTACGTTGTGTTAGCGTCCTTCTCAAGTATATAAAGCGCTTACCTTGACACATCACCCAGGGAAAACTAACCCTTGTTTTCAAACCTCGCCTGTCTTTTCATAACGACATGAAGAAACAACAATAAGACTAAATATGATATACACATTTCGGTAATTTCAAAGGACGATAATAGTACGCTCTCCCGCCATTATTTTTCAAACTCCATTTTGATTGTGTACAGAATTCCATCCAACCGTCGCATGTAGTTCTACCTTTTCATCCGTTGTCTTGTTGACCAACGGGCGACATCAATCTCTAAAAGATAAACGTACGCCACACACAAAGACAATAGTGTTCTATCACACGCATTGTTGTTTCTCTGCCTGCGAACCTCTATGCTTATAGAAGCACCTGAATGAATGGGCCCCTTCGAACCCTAGCCCCCCATCAATACAGGTGGGGAGAAATATTTGATCTAACCCCATTGTGAGGGTGTGAAAGGGGGTGTAATATATCTTGCTAACTTGATCGGCGCAGACTTAGCTGGCAAACAATTCCTTTCAATAAGCGTTGGCCGGTTGAAAAGATGATACCGTCGGTAAACAGAGTCTGGGAGCGCAAACTGTACCACTGCTGACAACAGTCTGCCTTACCCCCCTTCTAGCAGTGGAAAAAAACTTACAGCTTAAACTTTTCCAGTTTCCTATACCGAATAAAGTGTTCGTCTATATTCTGTATGGTGCATATGGTGGTTTCTAGATTTTATATACGAAATTGTAAGGCGAACCCCTAACACAACTTTTCGAAATGATCTATCAATTCTTGTTAACATTTTCACAAGTGCGTCTTCAAGTGTTTGTGAAATTGTATTCAGATTTAAAGTGTTAAGTTGATACTATACTGAAAGGAAGTACTTTCTGACTAAAAATGTACAATACACATTACTTTCCTTATTTAGTAAAACCTGTAAAATTGATAGTTTATTACCAATGGCCCTCACTTACTGTAACTGCGATTATCGTACTACACCTTAGCAAGATTAAGGAAAATACACAAACACCAAAATATTCCAATCGTAATTTTATTATTCATTGAAAAGAACACATTTCTATTACAGTAAATCTTAGACATTATGATCCATCCCTACATCCGGGCCTTGCGTTGAAAATTGGCGGGGTTTCTCAGGCCGGGACGAGTGCAATGTTCGGCTGAGACAGAACGAAGATTGCAACTATCCAGACCTGAGCAACGACGCCATGTCTGAAGTCACCTGGAAGAAAAAAAAGGAAGGAAAAAGAAACCGAGACGACCCTCTATGCCATCCTAACAGAAATATCTTTGAGAAAGAAGCCAAGTAAATATTAACGCACCTATATGTGGACGTCTACCTTAAAAGATGGTTTCTCTGAAGCCTAGATAGTGGTTCCTCTAATGGCCTTTGCAAGGTCATACTACAGAGGGTCTAAATGCAGGGTCCACACACACTGAACCAACCGAGCTGTTTTGTCCTCAAGTCAACCAAAGATACACAAACTTCCGGTCGTATTAAACCAACAGATTGAAAAGGAAGGCTGCAGAACGGGTGGCTTGAAGTAAAAGAGTGTCGAAGTCAAGTTTGAAGCAAGATGGCGGCAGCGGACGAGCCGGGACAAGTGCAATATCAGTGGGGAACATTGTTCCTTGTCCCGACCTTCCCGCCAAAAACAAAACCGCTACATTTTACAAAAACACTCAATCAAAACCCCCTCCCTATCCATTCAAACCGTCCATGTGCAAAACGTGCATTTTTTTTATATCTGTCGAGACAAATCAAGGATTTTACACGTTCTGTCCAACCCGAAAATAAATGACCCGAAATGTTGACAGAGTTAACAAAACGTCGGCTGGACTGTCAACATCCTTTCAGCACGGTAGCACAAACCTAAAAGAAAACGTTTAAACGCATCAGTCACTACCTAGCGGTCCGTAGCAATGTCAATTCACCGGGACTACCCAAAAATCGATTTGCAAGTTGCAGTTTGCTAAAAACAATGTTACTCTACGTATTTCTGGTCTGTCACAAATTCACCTCTTCCTAACGTAAGGAGCTACACTGGGGGCAGAAAAGTTCTCCCTGCGATTTCAACCACCCTAAACCCGTAAGACATAAAGAAAAATTACCCTGTACAGAAGAGCCCAACCGTAAATTCTGACTAATTTGGACCGGAAAATACTACGGGAATGTACAAAACATGAAAAGCACATGTTAGCGAAGATACCAAGCCATAGAAGCATAGAAAGCGCTGATTTTGCATGCCCTTAAGAGAGGGGGGGGGTGAGTAAAAACGATGGCGCCAACACCAATTTTCCCACACCGTTGGAGTACAAACATAGCCAGACAGGCACAAGTGGCAGCAAACTAAATAAATACAACCCAAAACAACACCTGCGGAACATTGCAGAACAGTAAGCCGCATTCTACAAGGTAAAAGGTAGAAAAAGGACCCAGCAAAACTTCACCCAAACGTTAGGAGCTTTCTGTCAGACGCAGACGACAGCTTCGCCTTCTGTGCGCGGGAACAGAGGCACACCGGCAGGTGCCCGCCCTTTTATACCTGCGTCAGAGAAACAGCCAACTTTCCACACAAAAGAATCGGCTACCATTTCTGTTTACCCAGCCAAAGGACGCTAGCTTCGGTGTCCATTTACCCGAACTTGAGAAGCCCACAGACCACCCAGCCGAAAACGACACCACCTGCAAAAAGAAGCGAGGCCTCAAGTGAGGACAAATTTTCCCGCCTGAACATGATGTGAGAGAGTAGGGGGTAGGGTTTGGATGTCAGAGTTCTACGCTGAAAGTATTCTCTCTACACAAAAGCGAGCGCTGAAGGCAGCCTTGAGTAGCATTGTTACGCCACATAGCTCCGTAGGCATTAACAAACAGCTTAAGTCAGATCTAAGCAAGTCGGTACACTTACCATTACATAGCCGCCTTAAGGCGAATCTTTCAACAGAAACGACACCAATTTTAGTGCGGATCTCGCCACCAGTTGGTCTGAGAGTGTCTTACAACACTACACTGTAATTCTAAGGAGGTCTGGGTTGTGTTTCGTCGTCTTTGTGCGACCTGAAAAAAGATTCCGGCGTTGTGGTCATTACAGTTTGTCAAACAAAGAGCAACACAATACTTCAACACCTGGGACGCATGCGCACCTCGGGCACCCTAAACAATGGCGGCCCGCTGCTTTGGCTAATCAGGCTACAGCAAGTAACTTTTATGGATGACATCAGCGCGCGCATTAATTTTCGCCTGATTTTGGAAAAAAAAAAACAAGAAATTTTGTTGCCTTCTGACAGTGGTCAACATGCCGAAAATGGGCAAAGATGTCTGTTGCCGTGCCGGAAGGTGGATAGCAGATAAACGTAAAGAGAGGAGACAAGACAAGACTCTGATTTAATCTTTGTTTCTTACTTTGATGCAGTGATATGTGATGCTGGCTGTGTATATGTGATGTTCCCACTGAATCAAAACCATTTGTACAATAATCGA